ATTAACGTGTACGTACGAATTGCTGGTTTATCACAAACTTTTTAGTAGTAGCTATAACTACGTGAATCATTAAACTATTGATAATAACGTGCCCATATTCCCAGTTCATTCATTATTTTGTAGTGAGATCGCATGTGGTTTGTCTGTCTGTTTTGGCTCAGAATAACACTCTCTAATCAATTTATGTGACTTCACTAAATCTTAAACACAGGAAGTCACCCATAGATATACATTTCATGTATATAGATAGCAAAAACGGCGAATTTCGAAGAAACAACATGAGTTGACTATAATGTTTTAGAGTTTCTTATCAACTGTAAACAGTCCAAAAGTTGCAATGAATTAAAAAGGATGACGAAACAAATGATTAGAAGGCTTAAAAATGGAAAAGCATAATAAACCGAAGTTATAAATAAGAATAAATGACTAAATGAGTAGGCCATATAATTTAGACGGACAAAAACATGACGAACATAATGTCTGGTATGTGGTGAGAAACCATTGAAGTTGATAATATAATTCATAGTAATCGTCCTAGCTTCTGGTATAATGAATGAAGCAGATTCATAATTCGGAGCACATACTGTGAGTGTGTATGAAGTGATCAATTTCGAGTTCCTTTTTAACATAACCTTTGAAGAACATAACAACTCAAAAAAGGCGATTGTGATTCTCAAACTACTTATTTTCGCTTGGCAGTAGTATGCTTCTTACAATCGAATTTGTAGGACATGTACATATTTCAGCGAAAAAGCGAGTTAAATGAAGATATGTTCTAGTTGAAAGGTTTTGTGTAAAACGATTTAATTTGTAGGTTACTTTTGTCACAAACTGGTTTCAGGTACCACTGAAATCAAGGAGAGCTGCATAGCTGTTTCGTCAAAATATTGATCACCTCAGAGACATTATGAATTTACTTATGTCCGCATTGTATCACTGGGTAATGACCGAATGTTTCTGATGGTCAGGCATTTGTTATGAGAGATGAAGCGCTTGTACGTATACAGTTTAGGGGTCTTTTAGTGTAAAGAAACAACTGTCCAGTGCTCCATAGTCAACAATGACACCAAAATTGGACCCTAATGTGATGAATACAACGTATCAGTTAAGTCTTATTTTACTCTGATTCGCACCAGCCGATGAAATCAAACAATCTTGGAGTCCAAAAAAAAACTTGGTATAAAACGTCTGTTCCTGAATAACATTAGGAAGTACCCAGTTAATGTTATTTCCTCAAGATACTACATGCTTTAGTTATTTTATTATATTACTATTATAACTTGACACTGCTAAACATCATCCTGACCTTTCTAACTTATAAATAACACTATTTTCAAGTATTTATACCGTAATAGATGCAAACACTCACAATTTTTAACATTGTCGAATTCATTAATGAATGCCTAATTTTTTATAACTTATGGTGAACTGTCATCGGAATTGATTACCTCAAGTGGTGTTCCTCAGGGCTGTCCACTCTCTCCATTCTTGTTTAACTTTGTCGTTGACGTCCTTTTAGAGATGACAATTTCCTCATCTAAATTTCCAGGAGTTGAACTTCCACCGGGAGATCCACTTGTTGACTTAGAATATGCCGATGACATAGTTCTATTTGGTGAAGACGCTGACAGAATGCAGAGTCTGCTGACCACTCTAAGCAACAATGCAAGCATGTTCGGCATGCAATTCTCTCCCTCGAAATGCAAAATAATGCATCAGGATTGGGTTGCATCGGCACCCGAACTAGTGATAGGGAGTGAAGTAGTTGAGCGTGTCGACCGCTTCACTTATCTTAGAAGTCTCATCAGCCCTTGTGGCTTGGTGTGTGACGAAATCTCAGGACGGATACAGAAGGCTCGACTAGTTTTTGCCAACTTGCGTCATTTGTGGCGTAGGCGAGATATCCGTCTATCAACAAAAGGATGTGTTTACTGCGCAGCAGTTCGTTCCGTCCTACTTTATAGTAGTGAAACATGGCCGGTAAGAGTAGAGGATATTCGTAGGTTACTAGTATTTGACCATAGGTGTCTTCGAAACATCGCTCGTATATCCTGGGACCACCGAGTAAGTAACTCAGTTGTTAGGAAACGGGTACTAGGTAAGGATGGCAAATCAATTGAGGAAGTAGTGAAACTTCATCAGTTGAGATGGCTAGGACGCGTGCTACGTATGCCCGATCATCGACTGCCCTGACGTGCGATGTTTTATGGTGTAGGAGTAGGTTGGAAGAAAGCTAGGGGCGGCCAGACCAAAACATGGCACAAATCCATGAAGTCACTGACAAATGGACTGAGTCATGTTGGTAGATGTAGACTACTTGGTTGGGGACCGCGAGATGATAGCAACCGATGGTTAGAGACCTTGAGTGACATGACTCAAAATCGTTTGCAATGGCGCAGGTGCATCCACTCTTTGTGTTCTCTAAAGCTCTAATCTTCTGAATTCTTCATGTCTTTTATTTTCTTTCACAATTTATTCCACTGGACTATACTCCTTAAATAACATCATCAAACATTAATGTCGCCTATCTCTACTTATACTTTCACTACCTCTACCACTATGGGATTTGAATCGATAACTGAATCTCTGTGCTAATGTGGTATGGAAACTCGAACTGATGTACGTACGTACGAAGTTCCACGTTGTTACTGACTTGTAACTGTAGAGCCTGATGATGAAGTTTTCAAGATCAACTGTTCGCTCAAATATTTTTATCTATTTTGCCAACAGAAGAAAATGACCAAATTCTGTCGGGATATTGATTTATATTGAAGATGGATCAAGTATTTTGTCCTCATGGTGATAGTACTTCCATAGAAACTATCACCAGAAGAGAACACTAAAGTATACTTATAACCAACTGTATTTGAACTAAAAGTGATGATAGTAGGTTAGCGATAGTCTTGAAAAATATTTCAAGCCCGAAAACAGGTAGCATATTTTTTCCTAATACAATAAAGTGTATAGGAAATCCTAGAAAACGAAGTTGAATTGACTGCTGAGTCACATTGAAATTAATTTTACGTAGCCTTATGAAAGCTCTACTGCCGGCTTCAACCCATACCTAAAAGATCTATTTTGTTCTTGTACAGAACTCCTAAGCAGTTATCATTCACCACTTCAGTGGTCAGGTCTCACTTTGAGCACCCAACAGTTGAACCACCGAGTTGTTATTCAGTAGCAAACGTTCTATACTTTAATCAACTAATGATACAATGCAAGCACCACCTAACGGAACTGGTGATAACTGTTTCCCATCCAACATAAAAGAACTCCATTACTCAAGATTTTTCAAAAAAAAACTTCAGGAACTCATTTTAAAGGTTCTAATAATTTATCCAGTTTTGAAAACGATACACTTATCGACTCACCTGGTTTGGAACCATACATTGATGTATTTTTAGCACTTAATTTTTGGGGGTCATTTAAAGTCATACTCTTTCAATAGGTACTTACATTTAGCAGATTTCCTCCGATTCTAATTTATATATTGTTTGTCATCAATCGCATTTACCGTTTAAAATGCATATTCATTTGTTGGCTCTTATGTATTTCTATGATTTACAAACAAATAGCTTTATGTCCAATATCCATTGCAATAATATACCCTTAGTCTAGACTGGCTGTATGCAAACAAATTGTCAAATACTTTGCATATAACTCATGAGAGAACAAGGTATAAACAAGAATTATCAAATAATCATTAAATAAAACATCGAAGATTTAACGAAAATATATTTTTACTGATTAAGATCATGAGTCAGTTGAAGCTAGACCACCTTGGAAAACCTGGAAGCACTAGACGGCTGTTTCATCCTATTGTGAGACTCCCCAGCAGTACGTATCCACGACCTCGCCTCCTGAGAGATTCGAACCCAGGACCTACTGGTTTCGCGCATGAATAAGTTAACTAATTAATTTGATAGACATCTATCCAAATTATATAAACTACTAATTATTAAATAGTATTGACAGATGATCATTATATAGGATAAATTAATCTTTAAGTAAACCAATACTATAATTTCATACAATTAGTTCCTTTTACGAACTTAATCAAAACCAAAACAGCAATTGAAGCAGAATAATATGCTTTCATTCTAATTTGTGGTTTCTTATCAGTTGTTTACAACTACTGATGTGTATTCAAGTGCAATATTGAGGAATGATATCATATGAAGTAATGGACATTAATGACGGAAGGAATTAGAAGAACAGAGATAACCAAGTATATAAAAATCACATGTGAGGTTACGTAGAGATGGAGTTCAAAAACATAGGTAAATGAAGCAGTAATTAGGTGAATTCTAAAAAGTGTTTAGATGGATAGTGTGATAATCTCAGAAATTGTGAAGAGTTTACAGAAGTTTCAGATTACTTGAAAATAGATATAAAGGATTTATTACATTATATCATAACTTAATGTTACATTTTAATACATACATGGTTGTAGCCCCTAGAAGCCCTGGTACGGCCGAGGGTGGGGAGAGTTAGCTCTCCCTTTCAAAGTGCACTAAGATAGCCACGTGCATACAACTGCTGTTGAGGAAGTTATACTCACTGCACTCTTGCGGCATTACTGTTGTTTACGAAATTGAGAGGATGAAAAGCGAATGTCCTGCATTTTAAACGGACTGGCGGATCCACCTAGAGGAATTGGAAAACCCTGATTCCAAACCAATGGTGTACATCGAAACCAGGATCCTGAAGGAAAAAATGGCGTATGAACCAATTATTGGTCACCGGCTACCATGGAACTGCATCTCCTGAAGTTGCTCCACTGCCTTGTGGGTTAGACCTTTAGGTCGAAGGCTCGGGGTGTGGCCCCGTTAGAAAACCACCTGCTTCGGTCTGGGCACCCAGGCAGTATCTCAGCCCTTACACAAATCGAATGATTTATGTGGCGGATATCTATTTGGTGCCTCCTTATATCAATGTTTATGTGTCTAAATAAATAGATAAATATATGGTTGTAAGTAGCTGATGAGAAATTAAAAAATAGAATGAATTTATATTATTCTGCCTTAATTATTGTTCTATGCTTTATTCAAATAATTTATTTCGAAAATTATGGTAGAAAGTAAACATGCAATAAAATATATTAACAACAATACAGTTGATTTATGTATTCAATAAACTAGCAGCAGCTTTATCTACAATCCATATTAATTCTCCATAGACTGGATGAATTAATGAACATGGCATAGAAGGACCTGGATTAGGTGATTGATGAACAGACTAGACGGAAGAGAAAGAGAACAGAATCAATAAAGGATTAATTGATTAATACAATTATTGTTTATAAACAGAAAAGTGGTTTTTGTTTTATCTGATTATAATAATAGTTGGAAAAACGGAGAAACAATTAGACGTAATTTTACGTTACTTACTGATGTGATGTAGGTTTAGTATGGTATCCCAGATTGAGCAAATAAAACTATTGGGCAATATGGCCTATGCACATTTTATGAGATAATGTACATTGATCTAAACTAAACAAATTTGCACGAACGATATAATGATATATGCTTTATAATTTTAAGGCAAAACAAGAGCGACAATTTTTGCAGGATAAGAATGACTTTACTATAGTTCGGTGTTTTCTCATTCTTTCTTACATAACAGCTAATATGTTTTATTGTTTCCAATTATTAAACACTAAAAGAACTTTTAAAAGCACACTCACATCTGCAAGATTGGTTCTACTATGAACAACACTATGCTCAATAACACAAACAAAAGTAGATAAACATCTGTCACATGTTACTCTGGATGTTTTATATATGCATACTTGTATGAAGGTTTCAAAAAACGTACGCCCCTGAAAAAAATTCTAGCCTAGTTCGATAGCACACCATCTACTAGAAATGAAGCACAACGTGGATAGCATCTATTCGTTTACAGTTATCAATAAACAGTATATTTCCAGTTTATTCAAATTTACAGAAGTCATAGTAATTAAAAGTCTTGAGTCTGACCTGAGTATTTAACAGCAGTCATCTTTCGGTCCCCAAACGATTTGGTACGGGCGAGAGTGGGTAGAGTCAGCACTCCCTCGAAAAATGCTCTCACATGGCCACGTGAGTACAACCACTCCCAGGGAAGTCCTACTCACTGCCTTCTCCTGGCATTACTGTTGTTTATGAAATTGAGAGGACAAACGTGAATATTCAACGATTTAAACGGGTTGGTGGATATGAAGTATCCGTCTAGGGGAGTTGGAAAACCCTGATTCCAAACCAATGGTGCACATGGGCTCCAGAATCATGAAGGAACAAGTAGCGTATGAACCAATTATTAATCACTGGCTACCATGGGACTGAATCTCCTCATGTTGCTCCACTGCCTTATGGATTAGACCTTTAGGTTAAAGGCTCAGAGTGTGGCTTCTTAACAAAATCACCTGGTTCGGTTCGAGCACCCGGGCAGTATCTCAGCCCTTACACAAATCGAATGATTTATGTGGCGGATATCTATTTGGTGCCTCCTTATATCAATGTTTATGCGTTTAAATAAATAAATTCAGTTGCCTTAGTAACACACGCAAAACAAACATTTTGAACGCCGTTTTTCTCAATTAACTGAAATCACAATCTAATGAGTTGAACTCATATGTTATCTTTTTTCTGAACTTCCAAACATCGTGATTATAATGTGTAATGACATTATCTTAATATTCGAGAACTATTACCTTAAGCGATCATAACAACTCTTTTTAAAACTTTAATTCTTAACTGATTTCTCATTACACACAACTTATTTGTCGTTGATGAACAATTCACTTTCTGAAAATCAGAAATGACTAAAAGTCTTGGATTCTGTTTAGCTGAAGAAAGTAAAGAAATACAATGAATTCATTATATTCTGTCTCTTTCGTTATTATTATTTCACTCATACACTCATATCTATTCGTTGTTCTTTCATTACACACACTTTACATTATCTATCCCTTCACAACCTCACTATTATTGTGTGATACATATGCATTCGGTACCCCCCTGTAACAATGTTTATATATTCAAATAATAATAAATGGCGTTTGCTTTGCACCTTCTAAGTGCAAAATACTTTTACAAGACTGGCAGGATATTGAACCTGGACTTACTATTGAAGTTAGAATTAGTCGAGTTCGTGTAAATGGGTGGCTGTGTAAGTGCTGGTGGTGACGTGAATGATGAGACCAATTCACGTATAGTGAAACTCAGAGCGGTTGATGCCAATCTGGGCCATCTTTGGCACCTTCATGATGTTAGTCTGGGTGTGAAAGGTCACATCTTAAGGAGTAATATTATAGCCTAGTTAATCAGTTATGTGTTTGTTATAGATAGTTAACTGCATAATATGGTAAGCATGTTCACACAGTATGCTATTATTATTTATTTGAACACATAAATATTGGTACGAGATGGCATCAAATATTTATTATTTATTTTATTTTATTTGAACACATAAATATTGGTACAGGGGGGCACCAAATATATATGCGCCACACAAAACAATGATAACTTGAAGAGAAGGAGAAAAGAGAAAAAAAAGTAATGAACGTGGGGAATTATAAAAAAAAAGAGAGAGAACAATGGTGGGGGAAACGGAAAGGTACAATCAGAACAGATCTTTCAGTTAAGGAAGAGGCAACCACTTTTTATAAAGAAAGTAAAAGAAGGTTATAGCACGATCGCCACTGGCTTCTATTCTGAGCCATATCTGATAACGTCTCTAGCCACTGCGTTACACCGTCTCTCGGACCCCAACCAGGGAGTCGTGAAGGACCAACAGAACCCAGCCCTTTGCAGCTTTCTTTCATACCACGACACCATGTCATATACTGACCACCTCTCCGCTTTTTCCAACCAGTCCCAGAGTCGGCAAATAATGCACGACGTGGAATTCTCTGGGACGACATTCGTAGAACATGTCCAAGCCACCGAAGTCGGTGTTTCAAGATGGTGACACTAATTTCATTATCGTCTCTGTGGCCGAACACTCGATGCCGAACCTCTGCATTACTGACATGGTGTTGCCACTGGATACCAGCAATCCTTCGGAGACAACGATGATCGAACACAGTGAGTCGTCTAACATCCTCAACTCGGAGAGGCCAGGTTTCACAAGCATAGAGCAAAACTGCTCTCACCGTCGCGTTGTAGATCCGACCTTTTACAGCCAGACTAACATCACGAAGGCGCCAAAGATGGCCCAGATTGGCATAAGCCGCTCTGAGTTTCACTATACGTGCATTGATCTCATCACTCACACCACCACCAGCACTTATGCAGCTACCCAGATACACGAACTTCTCGACTACTTCTATCTGCATCAAATATATATGCACCACACAAAATTTTATCTGTGTGTGGGCCGTGATACTGCCCGGGTGCCCAGACCGAAGCAAGTGGTTTTCTTAGGGGGTCATACCCCGAGCCTTTGACCCAAAAGTCTCACCCACAAGGCAGTGGAGCATCGTGAGGAGATGCAGTCCCATGGTAGCCGGTGACCAACGATCGGTTCATACGCCATTTGTTCACTCAGGATACTGGAGCCCATGTGCACCATTGGTTTCGGATCCGGTTAAAGAGACGGACATTCGCTTTTCGTCCTCTCATTTTCGTAAACAACAGTAATACCACGAGAAGGCGGTGCGTAGGACTTCCCTGGCAGAGGCTGTATACACGTGGCCGTGTGAGAGCATTTCGAGTGGGATGGCGGGCCCGCGTCACTCTCGGCCATACCAGGGCATTTAGGGGCCTGCTATTATTATTGTTACTATTAAATATAATTCAGTTTATATTATACAAACCTGGCTGTTAATCTAATTGTAAATATATCATTTAAACAGTAGAGTATCCCATAAATCATCCTGATATAATTTTGGAAGTCAAATAAATCTTTACCACCAGTCTTTGGTTCTTGTACTTCGCACGGTTGCTCCTATGTTCAAATTATTAGAAGCAGAGTACAATCAGTAGACTTATTACAGTGGCAAGTTTCAAATATGACACATCATAATAATGATAAGAAAATATCTTACCTTTAATGCATGAGCTTTATCTGATCCTGTGACCATGAACACAACCTTTGCTGCTTTATTAATTACAGGCAAAGTCAAAGTAACCCTTTGTGGTGGTGGTTTCGGACTGTCAGAAATCGGTGCTACCACAAAATCTTCATACTGTTAGGAAGTAAAATTCATGAATTTTGACTAAACAACTCTCTGAATTTTTATACGTATAGGTATAAAGTATCAATAAAAGCCATTATTACTCAGTTAGGTGTGACTTATTCACTAATTATAGGTTTAACTAGTCGACAGTGAACAACGCCACTCCGGCGAAAGGTTAAAAATACTAGCCAAGTACCCAAATTAAATTAGGTTGAAGAGTTGTTCGAACTTCAGGTTTACTGGTTGAAGCGTAAATGTTTTAACTATTGTTACACTATTCAGTTAACAGTTTAACACTTCATTTAATATCGAAATCTGTGATTTGAAGTTAATATGGAGACTGACAAAGCAGTTTAAACATAAATATCCAGTTGATTGATATATCTATATGGAGTGTCTTCGTCAGTCAGTTAAACTTAAATAGATTTCGGTTAAAGTTGCTTTAACTTACATCAAAACAAGATTAAAGGCGAACGAGATGAAATATTAGTATCAACAATAATGGGAAACTGAATGATAAAAGAATCAGTGAACTCGTTGAATGTGAAACGATAAACAATGTTAAAATCTATGATACGTATCTTATTTCGTCACACCAATCAAACTTGATTGTACTACTGCTAATAAGAGTGATAATTTAAAATCATTGGCACTACATTTGATGTTCTTGCTGCCTTTCGATTCTTGAAAACATCGCACTATTTAGTACTCTTTATTTTTTGCTATCACGTTTTTTGAGTGTCATACAACATTAGTTTCACTACTGTAATTTCCCGAGTTGACTACTCATTGAAAAACGCGACAAGGAGGATTGTTACATAATTCACGACAGTACCTATATTATTTATGTTTATCTCTGAAAAGTGCACGCAGTCGCTGACTGTTGGTGACGATCTGTATAGATAGTTGCATAACTCAAAACTTATCGCAATAGTGAAAATTCATCCATAATAACCTTATTTCCGACTAATAGGTAGGGGCGGCCAAACCAAAACGTGGCATCAGTGCTTGAAGTTACCAACTTCTGGTCTGAGCCATGTTGGTGGATGCAGACTACCTGGTTGGGGTCCGTGTAATTATCGTAACCAATGGTGACATGGCTCAGAATCAACCAAAATGGCGTCGGTGTATACACTCTTTTTCTTCCTCTAAACTAAGAGATTAAAATCGCTTGATATCTTTCTTTAACTCCGCCTGTAGCTCTTCCAGAGTTACTGCCGGACCCAAGCCTGGGTAAAGGAGGAGGGTTGGGCATGGGGTTAGCGTCCCCATCCCGTAGAAACCTAACTCGCTAAAAAAACGCTAACCAGAAAAAATAACTCAAACCATTTAAACTCTGCCCTGGGAGTTAGAGGTAATATGACGCTTCATGGTGAAAGCCGAGTTCCTTCGGAAGCCACGAGGCCGATGCCCCTTCTAACAACCAGAGCAACAATTTTTATAGGTACATGGAACGTCCGGACAATGTGGGAGAACGGGAAGACCAGTCAAATAGCAACGGAAATGAGGAGACACAACTTGGCAGTACTAGGAATCAGTGAAACCCATTGGACCCAAGCTGGACAACAAAGGCTAAATACGGGAGAGATGCTGTTATACTCCGGTCACGAAGAGGAAAATGCTCCACACACTCAGGGAGTTGCTCTAATGCTATCCAAAGTAGCACGAAATGCACTTGTAGGATGGGAATCTCACGGATCCAGAATCATCAAAGCATCATTCAAAACAAAGAAGGAGGGGATCACAATGAACGTGGATCTCACCGGACCACACCACAGAGAACCAGATAGATCACATTTGCATCAATAAAAAGTTCCGAAGGACAATGGAAGATGTGAAAACCAGGAGAGGAGCGGACATAACTTCAGATCATCACCTGGTTGTGGCCAAACTGAAACTGAAGCTAAAGAAGAACTGGACAACTGGACAAACAGCGCTGCAAAGGTTCAATACAGCCTTCCTTCAAGATACTGACAAACTCAATGAATTCAAGGTAGGTCTCAACAACAGGTTCCAAGCCTTGCAGGACCTACTGAAGGAAGAAGAAACTACTATGGAGGATAGCTGGAAAGGTATCAAAGAAACATTAACTTCAACGTGTCAAGAGGTTCTAGGCCCCAAGAAGCATCATCACAAGGAATGGATCTCTATAGAAACACTGGACAGGATCAAAGAAAAAAAGAACAAGAAGACAGCAATTAACAACAGTCGAACAAGAGCAGAGAAAGTCCAAGCACAATCTAAGTACATAGAGGCAAACAAGCAATTGAAGAAGAGTATTAGAGCCGACAAGCAGAAGTACGTGGAAGAGCTAACAATGGCATCAGAAAAAGCTGCAAGAGAAGGAAATATGAAACAGCTTTTTGATACAACGAAGAAACTAACAGGGAAATATAGCAAACCAGAGAGACCAGTCAAAGGCAAAGAAGGCAGGCCAATCACTGAGATTCAGCAACAGCGGAAGAGATGGGAAGAGTACTTCGAAGAACTCCTGAATGAGCCCGATCCAATGAATCCACCGGACATCGAAGCAGCACACACAGATCTTCCTATAAATGTCAATCCACCAACGACAGAAGAAATCAGAATGGCCGTCAGACAAATCAAGAGCGGGAAAGCAGCAGGACCTGACAATATACCAGCTGAAGCGTTGAAGTCAGACATCGAAGTAACTACAAGCATGCTTCATCCTCTATTCAAGAAGATTTGGGAGGAGGAACAAGTGCCGATGGATTGGAAAGAAGGACACCTCATCAAGATTCCAAAGAAAGGAGATCTGAGCAAATGTGAAAACTACAGAGGCATCACACTACTGTCAATACCGGGTAAAGTCTTCAACAGAGTGTTACTGAACAGGATGAAAGACGCAGTTGACGCTCAACTTCGAGATCAACAAGCTGGATTCCGTAAGGTCGGTCGTGCACAGACCAGATTGCGACACTACGGATCATCGTCGAACAATCAATTGAGTGGAACTCGTCACTCTACATCAACTTCATTGATTATGAGAAGGCATTTGACAGTGTAGATAGGAGGACGTTATGGAAACTTCTTCGACACTACGGAGTTCCTGAGAAGATTGTCAACATTATCCGGAACTCATACGATGGACTACAGTGCAAAGTAGTGCATGGAGGACAGCTGACAGAAGCATTCCAAGTAAGAACCGGAGTAAGACAAGGCTGTCTACTCTCTCCCTTCCTGTTTCTTCTGGTGGTCGACTGGATTATGAAGACCTCGACATCTGAGGGAAACTACGGCATACGATGGACAGCTCAGAACCAATTAGACGACTTGGACTTCGCAGATGACCTAGCCCTTCTATCACATACACACGAACAAATGCAGATAAAGACAGCCAGCATAGCAGCAGCAGTCTCTGCATCAGTAGGCTTCAACATACACAAAGGAAAAACCAAGGTCCTCAAATACAACACGGAGAACAGCAATCCAATCACTCTTGATGGCGAAACTCTGGAAGACGTGGAATCCTTCACATACCTGGGAAGCATCGTCGATAAACAAGGAGGTTCAGATGCAGACGTCAAGGCGAGGATTGGCAAAGCTAGAGCGGCATTCCTTCAACTGAAGAACATATGGAACTCAAAACAACTTTCAACCAATATCAAAGTCACAATCTTCAATGCCAACGTCAAGGCAGTTCTACTGTACGGAGCTGAAACTTGAAGAACTACAACAACCACCATCAAGAAGGTACAAGTATTTATCAATAGCTGTCTACGCATGATACTCAACATCCATTGGCCGGATACCATCAGCAACAGCCTTTTGTGGGAGAGAACCAACCAGCTTCCAGTTGAAGAGGAAATTAGGAAAAGACGATGGAAATGGATAGGACATACATTGAGGAAATCATCAAACTGCATTACGAGACAAGCGCTAACTTGGAATCCTGAAGGGAAGCGGAAAAGAGGAAGGCCAAAGAACACATTACGTCGGGAAATAGAATCAGATATGAAAAAGATGAATAAGAACTGGAAAGAGCTTGAAAGGATTGCCCAGGACAGGGTTGGATGGAGAATGCTGGTGAGCGGCCTATGCTCCTTCACGAGGAGTAACAGGCGTAACTAACTAAGTAAGTAAGATATCTTTCTTTCTACGAACTAATTCTTTCTTCCTGTACTATCTCCTTTCTTCTATATATTACCACCACTGAATTAACTACTTCTATGAATCCGGTGTTCATCTTGTTGTACTAATGCGATATGGCAACTTGGACTGATGCATATATGTGCCTGGTCCTACGTTGAAGCTGACTGACTACTTCCGACTAACCGTCGTTCTGCTTAATGAGGTCATTTCCTTTGCTCTCTTTTACCTCCATTGTAACGTAGTGCAATAAACCAGAACAATAAAAATATTAATTTAACAGTCCGTTCACCCATATCCCTTCGGTTGTATTTGACATTTCTAATGGTTTCATATGACTCATAATAATTCTGTTATTTTAAATTACTTGTGGAGCTAGAAAGAGTGAAGACTAAAATCGATACATCATCGTGCCAGAAACTTTGTTGTACCAATCGAAAAAATAACTCTCTTTGCATTTTCCTCGGTGAATAGTGGAAAATACAAAGTATAATACAGCATCAAGATGTTGAAGTAAATTAGAAGCACAAGTCTGTGGTGTGTTAAACGTTCGGCATAAAACATTAACTTACATAGAGCGACTTGTGATCAGGGAATAAGGAGCATGTATGACCATCTGGACCCATACCAAGAAGCAGTAGGTCGAAACGTGGATAACCGTTAGCTGTCCCAAAGAATGATAAGAGCTGTTTCTGATAATCAGCAGCTGAATCTTCTACTAAACATGATTTATATTATGATTAAAGACACTCTACATGATAATGTTGTATTAACAGTATGAATATTTGAGGATGGAATGTTAATTTTAGAGTAGAGTAGTTCTTGGTAGCAATGATGATTTGAATCTTCATTATCTAATGGAACTAGTCTCTCATCGCAATAAAAGAAATGAACTAGTTCCCAATTGATTTCCGAGAAAGAGCAAAGGTGTGGTGCAAGGAGATGAGGCATACTCCCGCCTTAATAAAACGAAGTTAACTAAAATATTGAATTACCAGATAAACCGATTGTAACATTACGGTTATCCTTAGTTGAGTCTAAAAGGATAGCCTTGATTATATCACATGCACTTCGTCCAACATCAGATTTACTGTCTCTGATATCTAGTTTCATTTCAGACCGAATACCACCTAAAAAGAGGATTTTAGTTTTTATCCATTTAGTTTCATTTGCTTTACGAAAAGAGAAGTTATAAGCTACCAAAATAGAATTCTATATTGTACCAAAATATAATATTGAATAAAGCCATAAATAAATAAATAAATAATAAGATTAAAAATACAATCTAATTACTGACATCAAGAAATATAGTGATAAATTGAGTAATAACTATTGGAAAACCGGTAGCCCTTCAAAGAAAAAAATTTGAGGTTCGGAGATGACCTACGCAAAATAACCATGTCGAGTGACGAGTATTGGGACATTTGAAACACAATAGATAGAATACGTCACTGGAGGTGCCCTTGTTTCATCAACATAAAGTAACTTACTTTCATAACTATTAGTCGTTTTTCACTACAGCTATGTACTTTATAGTCTTAATTCTGATTGCAAACACTTCACCATGCTGCTTTGATGTGTAGTAACCTTTAAGGTCAGTTTAGAACCAATTGGTTTTAAGCTACGATAAACGACTGCACACATCAAGAAGCCATAATAAATAGAAAAGTCGTTTATGTTCTGGATGTTAAACGTGTACATATCAAGCGGAACAACCTATGTTGTTATGCGTGACAACTGTCACGCATTTTATATAGTTATTTCATCTCGATAGGAAATAGACAAGTCGACTGCCAACACTGATATGTACAGACAATCATAACAATATATGCAAATATATTGCAAAATTTAACGCGAAAAGTTACACAAGCGCGATACTAACGCAATCTGGTGATAGACACATGAAAACGATAGCGTTACACACCCCTTTCAGAACGCCCGCGGTCGAGACAACCAAATGGTTCAAGTGGTTGTGGACGGAATAGAAGAAGCTTTCGCTTAACAGGCTTCCGTGTCTAGTAGCAGGGGATCACCGGTACCTCTGGGCAGGAACCTAGGTATATTAACGATAAAAAAGAAAAAAGAAATTGGTAAATCTTAGTAAGATGCTATCATAAGTCCTTAGGAATAAATCAAGTCGCCACTTAAAGGACTACTGGAAAGTTGCTTGAACTAGCTCAGCATTTCTGTCACAGTTGGCGTAAGACTTTAAGCCGTAGGGCACCAGAACTCCTAAATCATCTTCGACTCGGGATACTACTAGAGAGAATTTTCCTAAGTTGCAACTGTAGCCTGCGACGTGTTGCAGAGTGACTGCTTTACACTTTGAAGTGTTGAAGTCCGTTATCGTCTGCCCAACTTTGAAGTCGAGTCAGATTCTCCTGAAGTGCCTGTATATCCTCTTGGTTGTGTATCTCTCTCCAAAGTTTCACGCCATAGGCAAAAAGTAATGACTTTGACGATACCTGTTGAGGAAGTTCATTTATATAAATCAGGAAGAGAAGAGGTCCTAGTACTGAGCCCCGGGGGACCCCACCAGGACAGCAGATAGTCGTGTATACCATCGTATACCAGGGGCTCCATGATTTTTGAAAGTGTGGAGACAAGAGCCAGCTGTCGGTAACTTGAAGGTTCGCTGTGTCGACCTCCTTTGAAGATTGATGTGATATGAGCCGGCTTCCAATTTTCCGGTAGTTTGCCTCGACTTAGCGAGTGTGAGAACATCACGCTAAGCGGTGTTGCCAGGATTGAAGGTGCTTCCCTCAGTATAGCAGAATGGACCACATCTGGGCCGGGAAAAGTGTCTGTTCTTAGATGCTGCAGTTTTCGGAGCAATAAGTCAGCGCTCAGGTTCACTACGGAAAGTCATGTGCAGTTACAGATGAAGCTTTCATCAGTATAGTTGATGTGGGTTGGCTTAAATGTCCGGGAGTATTGCTCAGCCAGAATGTTGGCAGCGTCACCGTTGTTATGAGTTGGGCCGTCAGGACCTAATAGTTGGTAAACTCCAGTTTTGGGTTGAAGAAGAGGGGCTGCATAACGGAATAAGCTTTTCCGATTGAAGACAAATTTATCCATAGGCTTTATCTGGTACTGAAGCCTTTCTTCTCCTATAGGCTTCGTGCATATGTTACTTATATGTTTGTATTGCCTGTATGCGCCGTTGTTGTCGGTTCGTTTGTATTCTGCCCAACAGTGCTTTTTGCGGCTTAACAAACGAAGAGAGCGGTTCTTGATGATCGCAGGTTGCTTGCAGATTTTTGGGACCATTTAAGGAACTGACTGCTTTGGGGCCCATCAGAGCGTGTGCATTAAAAAGTCCCGATGAGCATCCATACCAAGTTTGAGGTGAACATACCAATCCAGCTGTTGTAGATAGTCCTGTAGAGCTGACACGTTCAACCGTTTGAAATTCCAGCGCCTGTTTTTGGTGGGATATCTTAGCTCAGTTTTGCTGACAAAACTGAACGCTATAACGGCGGGATCGCTTTTCCCTAAGGGAGCCAGAATTGAAAGGTTGTCAACTAGAAATTCTTTATTTGTAAAAACATAGTCTAAGCGTGACGGTGTCTGGCTGTTCCTCCAACAAGTTGCCGACTTCACATTTGCTCATAATCCCAAATCCTCAATGAGGTTGAAGTACCGGGCTTCAGTTGAGTTTTCACATCCAATATACGTATGTTCCGCGAAGTTGACTCTAGGGAGATTGAAGTCCCCTAGAATCATGATATGAGTGAAAACGAGACGCGTGGAGCGGGATAGTTTTCCAGCATACGACTGTCATACTCGACGTCAGCAGTGGGCTTCCTATATATGAATCCGACTAGGCACCTCGAAGTAGTAGACAATCTTACAGAGCGCCATGATTTTTGTCTACTCAGCTGTTTATTTCTTTACTTTTTTTAGCACCACATTTTGTGCTCTCTATGTATGGAACTTTTAAATAAACCTGAACGATGTATCTACGGCCTAAGCTATAAGTCCTCCTTGTTTAAAATTTCATCAGTTTCGTTCTTATGACTTTCAAGGGTTAAAGTGACATGCTGTAAAAACCTCCTTCTCTTCTCCATTTTATAACAACGGAACATATGAAATATTTCCACTGCACAAATAGTTGTCCAGTATATCTACTTGAAAATATCATTGCAAAATATTCCCGATATGACCTTATTAGTAAATCTGCTACGGTAGCACCCTACTCGTAAGCCTTTTCTGTTCATTATCGATCATGCCTGTAAAAACGACATGCGGTTGCTATATTAGGAACGACGTATTACTGGAAATTGCCCAAATACGTATTCACAGTAAAATGCCTCACGTTGTCCTCTATGTGTAATATTGTTTATGAAAACATGTCTGCAATCACCATGTACTGCTTATTTGGACCAATTGTCTGATTTTACTGGAAACGACCATTTGTGTTTTAGGCTACTATCCACTAAGTGAGATCACTGGCTTATATTATAAACTTAAATTATGCAGCCGAACGACAGAAAGGTATTAACACGTTTTCAACCAATCAGATATGGGAGAAAATAATTATTTGCCTTTTTGTTCTAGGAGTCAGATATAGTTGTTAGGATTCTTGTAATATAGCCGATATTATTTCGTAGCGAAACCATTGACTGAAGACCGTAATTCCTCACACCAAATCCTCTTTTTGGATGTTTGGTAAATGAGCGTGAAGCTTTCTCGTTGGTTCGGCCGGACAACACGTTATCCGTATTTACTAGATCCGAAAGCACTGCTGGATCTATACTTTTATTCCAGTGGTCGCCTCTAAGTAGAAGGATGTTCGCTAATTGCATGAACACTGTCCGTTGTTCTGACGAAAAATGAGCTCTCAGTTAACGGATTTTACATTTTGTTTATTACTATTTCCTTCGTTCATTATACATAGATTTAAGTGTGTTTCTACTAGTTTCTATCTACACATTAATATTTGTTCTTAGGTATTACAACATTTCGATGAAGACCTTGGTTGGAGTTACGACAGTTACAATTTACAGTGTATAACATTCTGTTTTGAAATTAATCCGAAATTTGCATTCATTCAGTACCTTTTCAATAATCACTTTGTTGCGCGTAACGGATGAAATATGGTTGCGTAGAGAAGTTTTCCTCTCACAACCTGGTAGTTGGTGGACACTAAATACCAGTGAGTCTTATTTGATATTATGCACTCCTTACTGAACCACGTTGCAAGCTTCAGTTTCCTATATTTTGCGTTTGTCTAGATTGATCACCCATCTAGTTTTTATCATTGAACGAAAACCGAATATCATCAGTAATTTCGAAACAATAACATCCGCGTTCACTGACAACGATATTTTATTATCATATGGGTTTTGTGGATATAGTAATTTTAATGGTTAAGATCATGAGTCAGTTGAAGCTAGATCACCATGGAATACCTGGACGGCCGTTTCTCCCTAATGTGGGACATCTAGTGGCTAAGTGCTTGCGCGTGAAATCAGTAGGAGCTGGGTTCAAATCTCGCAAGGAGGTGGATGCGCACTGCTGAAGAGTCACATAATAGGACGAAATGACCGTCCAGTGCTTATAGGTTTTCCATGATGGTCTAGCTTCAACTGACTCATGATCATAACCATTGAAATAATATTTCACTTTCATTGAATCTACTCCGATAACGAGGCGTGAGTATACGAAAACATTTATCCCCTCTAAACACGTCACCCTTGTCATACAATTAAACTTTCGAATTAAATTTTAAATTGTTAGGTTGAAGTTGACACATTAGCCTATTACTTACTTTCGCCTGTTACTCCTCGTGAAGGAGCATAGGCCACTCACCAGCATTCTCTATCCAACCCTGTCCTGGGAAATCCATTGCAGTTCTTATTCATCCCTTTCATATCTGATTCTATTTCCCGACGTCATGTGTTCTTTGGCCTTCCTCTTTTCCGCTTCTCTTCAGGATTCGAAGTTAGCGCTTGTCTCGTAATGCAGTTTGATGATTTCCTCAATGTATGTCCTATCCATTCCCATCGTCTTTTCCTAATTTCTTCTTCCGCTGGAAGCTGGTTGGTTCTCTCCCACAAAAGGCTGCTTGATGGGTTGGACACTACAATGAATTGGGTAAATGCTGGAAAATATAGGCAGAAAAAATAACATTAGCCTACATTTTCCAGCATTTACCCAATTCATTGTAGTGTCCAACCCATCAAGCAGTATAATTTTTTTGAAAAAAACCTTATCTCTTGAAGTGAGATAACTCAAAAATTACCGATTTTCCACAAAACCCCTTCTAATAATAATCATCTACACACTAGTGACTGACTTCAAGAGATACTCCTGGAGTCCTAGTGAGAAGTCGTGACCAGTGGAGTTCAATCAGGTCTGTTGTGAGATAGTAACTCACTGAAGACAATGATGTACGGTGGCGCGACTTCGTGGATTAGTTGAAGTTAGACATAAACACCGTTGGATGCCGGCTCAATGGTCTAGTTGGTTAAGCGCCTGGCGCGAGACTGATAGGTCCTGAGTTCAAATACCGCGGGGGCCGGAGTCGTGGATGCGCACTGTTGAGGAGTCCCATACTACGACGAAACGGTCGTCCAGTGCTTCCAGATTTTTCATGGTGGTCTAGCTTCAATTGACTCATGATTTCAACTATTGAAAATAACTCAAAAAGCTTGACAAATGAAAAGTATTAAGATGATGTTTTAAGATTACACTGAAAGAATCAGATAGAATTAGGTTTGAAAAATTGACTATGTTAAGAATATCAACGAAATAATCTCACTTTAAAATGATAAAGAAAAGACTTTATCTACACTAAAAAGAAAAAAAAACGAAGGAGAAAAAAAAAAAAGAACAATTTAAAAGCTGAAAATTAAACAGCATTCACATTTGATCTGAGCAACTTTCAAGAACGAAAATAAACAAACAAACAAACAAACAAACCAATTATATAACAGATAGTTATGACTTATTAGATTCATTAAATGTTACGTAAGTATAAAGTAAATGAATAAACAAAAACAAAAAAAAAAGAAAAACAGGGTTAAAATCTAACATATATGCAATCATTGCATTCAATAGTTGTCATATAACAACAAACCAGTTTTAAAAAAAGAATAATATAGACCCTATTGTTATTAATAGTAGTAGTAGGGGGAGGGGGGAGGAGGTTTTAAGAAAGTTGATAAAAATGGAATTTTTAAAAAAATGAATATGGAGTTCATAAAACGTTTAAAAAAGAAAGAGAAATCTAATTGATAATAACTGACGTATAGATCATCATACAAATTAAAGAACAATAGTATAATGAATTTATTTATATCCTTTTGTTGGCATGCTGTTTATTTATGATACATTTCTGAAAATAAGGCACCAAGACTCCAATTAATTTCAAAAGAATTAACTTTTTTAAAAAACTATAGAAAAGAAAAGAAAGAAAAAACAGAGAGAAGGTTATAATAATACATATAGTTACTATTATAACTAAATTTGTTAGGTCCTGAAAAGCATAATGGATGGATCAATACTGTCTAAATTATTCATATTCATGTCTATCATACGATGAGCTTCATTTTGACCTATGAATCATTATTATACGTTTTACCATTACCTCTCATATTCACAGTCACATTTAGCTCAGTCTTATACAAATGTTGTTTCCTGATTTATGGTACGATGTGGTCTGTTTGATTGGTATATAAACCCCGTATGTTTGAAATATAATAATTCATATTGCAGAGGCTCTGAATGGTGTTCTGAACTTAACTGGCTAGCCTAGACAAAAAGTGACACCAATAAGGACTCTAGACTGCTCGTACGGGTTTTACGCGTCATTGATCTGATAGATAAGTCACTGCTCTCTAATTGGCGGTATCATTACGTTACCCATTAACAGAGCACTCATATTACAAGTTATAACAAATTTTCACACTAATTTAACTCTTCCTGAAACCCCTCAGGGGGTTATTGCCGGTCTTAAGCCCGGATAAAAGAGGAGGATCGAGCATGTGGTTAACAACCCTATTCTGTATAAAACTAACTCGCTAAAAAAATAAAACGCTAACCATAAAAAATCATTCAAATCACATTTAAAGTAGTTCAAAACTAAGTTAAATGAATTCGTTTCAAATATGCACATGTTATCAGCTATTAATTGTTGTTGTTTTCTCTATTGGTACGTACTATCAGCACATTACTACGCATAAATAGAGTGTTTCTATGATTCATAAGAAAAATTCTTATATTCAAACAAAAGAGAAACATATGACAAGAAGGAATGAATGAATGAATAATCATTTATTCATTTACAATAAAGTCATCAGCTAGTCAGTTGAGCGCTGCATAGAATCTGACTCATACGTACATTAGTTTAAGTTGTCATAATCTACTAACACAAAGAGATCAAATCCCAAAATAGTAGAGGTAGAAACAGTATCAAAGTGGTAATAAAAAATGTTAGACATCGGAAAGAAAATATAAGTTGATGAGATAAAAATACACAAAAAAGAGATTACGAGGAACTCAGAATTCGGGGAAAGACAAATATGATCCTATACTCACAATTGATTGATCACGACCCAGTGATCCACGACAAAACCATCCAGCTCAGAGAACAAAACTCCATCAAAATCTGAACACAATTCAAAACCTAATCACTCTGGATAATAAGCTAATATTACCAGGGTAGGTTTAAGGTAAGAGCAAACTGTTTTTGAGTACACAAACGGGGGTTGAATGTTCGTATAGCTAAGGCTTCAATAAACCTTAGTATATACCCTTTTACATGTTTATACAACACCACAAAAACCGAGTTTAGATCAATCTTATGGTCTGTTTTAATTATATGTTTAGCAATAGAGGATGATGAATGTTTATCCTCTGCTCATATTGGGTCACTTAACTGTATTTGTTTCTACAGTCATTTCGGTACATGTTCACTCACCCTAATGTTGAGATCACGATTGCTCCTCCTTATGTATGTGTGATCACACACACACACACATTTAAATTGGTAAACACAGTGGGAGGTGACACAATCGTTTTCATGTCTTTTAGGTTTTGGATGAAGCATGCACCTTTGATGCGCAATACGTTTTATTGATGACTGATTTAAGTCTTTGTTTCAATAACAGGCTATTTGAATCACCTCTGAACGGTAAGGTGATGTAGACAGGCTTTTTTCTCCACCAAGGCTACAGTAGTTCTCACGGTATTATGGACTTCCCATCTATTTATGAATTTCAGAGGATAGCCATTATCTATCACATAACTACAATATCTTGATAGAATCATTCGATTAATTTATAATTTTGTTGTAATAACATGACGTATAACCTTTTTGCACTTATAATTTAATGATTTCAATGAGTACAACTAGATGATAACAAGTGTACTGATGATGATATGATCAATAATTAATAAATTAACTTAATGATTAGAATTGTTTATTAAATTAAATAGAAAGCAATAAAATGAAAGATAGTTAACTAATTAGATAATACTTTTTAAGAAAAGATGAATAGTAGTTAGTACTGAAATTTAGGATACACATTTCAATCTATTTAGGACTCGTCAGTTGAATATACCTGCATCCTAGAGTTGATATTCGAGTCCTAAAGTGAACATCAACTCCGAGATGCAGGTACATCCAGCTGATGAGTTCCAAATAGGAGGAAATGCGAGTTCTACATTCCACTGATAGCCACTGTCTATCTTTGCTTTAAAAAAAAATTGTGACTTAAGGCTGTTTCCAGGCAATCTGCACAGTATGTACATATGCTAACAAGAGATTGATCAATTGCAGTCTTAAATCACAATGTCAAGTAATTAGATAATGGCTATGATCAGCCAGCGTAGCTGCAGTCTCTACATCAGTATGTCTCAACACACACAAAGGGAAAACCAAGGTCCTCAAATACAATACGGAGAACAACAATTCAATCACTCTTGATGGCGAAACTTTGGAAGATGTAGAATCCTTCACATACCTGAGAAGCATTATCGATGAACAAGGAAGTTCAGATGCAGAAGTAAAAGCGAGGATTGACAAAGCAAGGACAGAATTCCTTCAATTAAAGAACACGTGGAGATCAAAACAACTTTCAACCAATATCAAAGTCACAATCTTCAATACGAACGTCAACATAGTTAGTTCTACTGTACGGAGCCGAAACATGGTGAACTACAACAACCATCATCAAGAAGGTACAAGTATTTATAAATAGTTGTCTACACAAGATACTCAACATCCATTGATCGAATACCACCAGCAACAGCTTTCTGTGGTAGAGAACAAACCAGCTTCCAGCTGAAGAGGAAATTAGGAAAAGACAATGGAAATAGATAAGACATACATTAATTACTAAAACCATCAAACTGCATCACGAGACAAGCGCTAACTTGGAATCCTGAAGGGAAGCGGAAAAGAGGAAGGCCAAAGAACACATTACGTCGGGAAATAGAAGCGGATATGAAAAGGATGAATAAGAACTGGAAAGCATTTCCCAGGACAAGGTTGGATGGAGAATGCTGGTGAGTGGCCTATGCTCCTTCACGAGGAGTAAAAGGCGTAAGTAAGTATGATCATACAAAAAGAAAACATATCATCTATTTGAATGATCAATGGTTTATAGTTAGATTGTGTTTTTATTTATTTGTCATTTTCATATTGAAAATTTAACCATTACAGATTAAGGAAAAAAAAACGACAAAGTCTTTAAGAATCCATTATCATTAATAAAAACTGTAACTTACTCCAATTTTTTTATCTGACGGGAACCCATAACCACTATGCAATAATGCAGTGATAAAACTAAGATCCATGCAATCGAATGGTTTCTGAGGATTTGGATTACGACAAACTGTGAGGGATGAAGAGGAAATAAATGAGAATGGGAAAAAAATATTACAAATACACTGGAAGAAGGGGATTTGTTTTATTTATAATCATTCACTGTATTTGTTTTACTTAGAATTCACAAGATAGTGAAGTTTGAATCCCGTTCCACCTACTTTAGTTTGAGCAAATGGATAATATCATCAGCTCCCACATTTAGAATGTGGTTCATCCACAAGTACCAGATGGATGAGTTGATAAACAAAAATAAACTTTGATTTCAAGTTACGGTTGTCAAGAACTAAGTTTAAAAATATATATAAACGCTTTATATAGTCGGTTACATCATGATCACTTTCACATATTCCAATCATTCATAAACTGTAAACGGTAATAATCGATCACTATATACTAATGACTTAAATGATTTGTGTGCATGTTATACATCAAAATTACATTTTAACATATATTAATCAACATATGTTCACTAGTGACTGACTTCAAGAGATACTCCTGGAGTTCTAGTGAGAAGAAGTGTCCAGTGGAGTTCAACCAGGTCTGTTGTGAGATAGTAACTCACTGAAGACAATGGTGGATGTGTCGCTCAATTTCGTGGATTAGTTGAAGTTAGACATTAACACCGTTGGATGCCAGCTCAGTGGTCTAGTGGTTAAGTGCTCGCGCGCGAAACCAGTAGGTCCTGGGTTCGAGTCTCGCAGGGGTTGAGGTCGTGGATGCGCACTGCTGAGAAGTCCCACAATAGGACGAAACGGCCGTCCAGTGCTTACAGGTTTTCCATGATGGTCTAACTTCAACTGACTCATGATCTTAACAATTGGAATTACTATGATCTCCACAAAACCCCTTCTGATATAATTTATTTACTTATACAAATTGGTGAATATGCCGATGATTGAATGATATGAAATGATAAAAATCTATTCACTTTATTTCTATACTGTTTATTGTTTTTGTGCTTCCTGAACATTGAAAAAGGGAACTAGCTATACCATTTAAAAAAAAGACTTTAACTTATCCCTGATGAAAGAACAATGAAATCTTGTTCAAATTAGTCAACCTGATTATCATTATCAAGACTTAAGACCTGGTAGGAATATATGCATTGATTGCAACCGTTATATCATGACATTATACTTCAACGTTAAACACTTTAACACGAATACGAGTGTGAACAACTGACGACCTACCACGAAATAAAATGAATTCATGTTATTCTGCTTTAAATGTTGTTCCGACTTTATATTTATTCATCATATATGGAATCAATTGTATGAAATTTTCTTTGATATTCCCCCATATGTACCAGTGACAAATGAATTACCATAATTAAAATCACAATTTGATCTGATAGACCATCATTGAAAACACAGAAACACTGGACGGCCATTTTGTGCTAATATGAAACTCCGTGTCAGGTGTGAAATAGTTATCCACCTCAGGGAATCGATGAGGCGTTGAACAACGTCATGGATTGATTGAATTTAGACATTAACACCACTGGATGCCTGGTCAGTGATCTAGACGACAAGTGTTCGCGCACGAAACCAAAAATCTTGTGTTCGAGTCTAGCGTACGGGATCGTCGATACGCATTACTGAGAAGTTCCACACTAAGACAAAACGGTTGTTCAGTGTTTCCAGGTTCTTATTAACGGTCTACTTTAGATTGACTCGTAGTGTCAACTATGAAAATACTATAATCTCTTTATAAATCCCTATAATGATAACAAACTCATTAGCAACACTGTATAGAAGTAAATGATTTACATGTGTAAGCTTTATATATGAATTAAACAATTAGTTACGAAAGATGAATTAATCTGAATTTTATCACTTAAGTAAACAATTTCATTTGAAAAAGAAAGAAAAAAAAAAATACTCAAAGATGATTTCAACTAAACACCATTGAAATGTAACTTGGTGTTTTCTCTCTCTCTTTCTTTCTCTCTCTCTCTCTCTGTAGAATTCGTATAAAAAATAATCAATTTTGCTGGAATGAAATTTCACACACTCGTATATGGATTACATAAACAAGGGTGTACACTATTGTACTAAAATTAATTTCAATCGATTAGCCTTAAAACTAAAAAGTAGAATGATCATTGAATTAAACAAAGATAGGGCTAATTGGTTTGATATTCACAAGAGCATATTTAGGTATTGTTAAAGAGAGTAAACATATATATATATATATATATATATATATATATATATATATATATATATATATATATGGTTGAAGGAATTGGATAGAAAAGAGTAGAAAATCAGTGTTGTAACTAGTTGGTACTATTAGTCAATAAGAAACATTATTTGTAATTTTAAAGAAATCCATACTGTCATAGCTTCTATCGCAAACGCAACAACAAATGCAGGAGAAGACGACCAGCAGCAGTAGGTCTCAATATACACAAAGGGAAAAGCAAGATTCTCCCATACAACACAGCATGCACCAATCCAATCACAATTGACAGAGAAGATTTGGAAGATGTAAAAACATTTACATATTTGGTCAGCATCATTGATGAACACGGTGAATCTGATGCAGATGTGAAGGCACAGATCGGAAAAGCAAGAGCAGCATATTTACAACTGAAGAACATCTGGAACTCAAAACAATTGGCAACCAACACCAAGGTCAGGATTTTCAATACAAATGTCAAGACAGTTCTACTGTATGGTATGGAAACCTGGAAAACCACGAAAGCCATCATCAAGAAGATACCGGTGTTTATTAACATTAGTCTACGCAAAATACTTCGGATCTGCTGACCAGACACAATTTGCAACAACCTACTGTGGGAGAGAACAAATCAGATCCCAGCAGAGGAAGAAGTCAGGAGGAAGTGCTGGATGTGAATAGAACACACATTGAGGAAAGCACCGTACTGCGTCACAAAACAAGCCCTCACATGGAATCCTCAAGGCCGGAGGAGGAGAGAAAGACCAAAGAACACATTATGCCGGGAAATGGAGATAGATATGAAAAAAATGAACAAGAATTGGATGGAACTAGAAAAGAAGGCCCAGGACAAAGTGGGTTGGAGAATGCTGGTCGGCGGCCTATGCTCCATTAGGAGTAACAGGCGTAAGTAAGTAATACTGTCATAGAGATTTGAAGCAATATAGTGATATACAATGGTTGAACACACACTACTATTGAGTAATTAGACTCGGAAATGAAATAAATAAAGCTCAAAACCAAAGTTAATCGGAAGTTTAAGTGACTTGAAGCACTTAATTACACACAATTTTCAACATTGAGAATGGTCTAGACTGAGTCTATTAAATATGTTCGTCGAATTTCAAGAAACAAGAAGAGATATATTTATTTATTTGAACACATAAATATTTGTACAAAGAGTCACCCAATACATATGCACCACACAAACCACTTGATTTGTGTGTGGGCTGTGATACTGTCTATGTGCCAAGACCGAAAGAGGTGGCTTTCTTAAGGGGCCACACCCGAAGCATTTGACCTAAGTGACTGATCCACAAGGTAGCGGAGCAACGTAAGGAGATGCAGTCACATGGTAGCCGGTGACCAATAATTGGTTCATACGCCATTTTTTCCATTAGGATCCTGGATCCCATTTGCACAATTGGTTTGGAATCAGGGTTTTCCAATTCCCCTAGGTGAATCCACCATATCCGCCAGTCCGTTTAAAATGCAGGACATTCGCTTTTCATCCTCACAATTTCGTAAACAACAGTAATGCCGCGAGAGTGCAGTGAGTATAACTTCTTCAACAGTATTTGTATGCACGTGACTATGTGAGTGCACTTCGAAAGGGAGAGCTAACTCTCCCCACCCTCGGTCGTACCAGGGCATTTGAGAGCTAAATGAGATTGAGATGGAAATAATAAACTATCAAGCTGAATATACTATAAATGAATGTTGGAAAAATTCAACATTCACTGAACTCAACTCGTTAGTGACAAAAAAAAACTCTATACTCTAGAAAATCTGAAGTATAAAAATGTTCATTATCTTTTTTTTTTTGAAAATGAACTTGGATTTAAGAGTAAGAATTTTCACGCAAGATCATATTGAATAAAGTGACATTGAGACCTGAAGTAACAGATGTTAATCTTAAGTTACTTCTGTGCTTTTACAACGAGGAAAATGTGTACAGTTGTATTCATCACGTTCACAAGATGATAACTGTTAACGATGATGACTGAGTGTACGGAAAACATTAGTACCACTAATAAATAATGGATATAAATAATACCCTGGTACGGCTGAAAGTGAGGAGAGTCAGCACTCCTTCTAGAAATGCTCTCACATAGCCCCGCGTATACAGCTACTGCTAGTGAAGTCCTACTCACTACCTACTCGAGGCAATACTGTTGTTAACGAAATTCAGAGAATGAAAAGCGAATGTCCGGTGCTGCAACCGGGTTGGTGGACACGGAGTGTTCACCTAGGTGAGTTGGAAAACACTAATTCCAAACCAATGGTGAAAATGGGCTCCAGGATCTTGAAGGAACAAATCGTTGACCACCGGCTACCATGGGACTGCATCTCCTGACGTTGCTCTACTACCTTGTGGATCAGACTTTTAGGTCGAAGGTTCGGGGTGTGGTCTCCTAAGAAAACCACAAACTGAATGATTTATATGGCGCATATCTATTTGTTGCCTCCTTGTACCGATGTTTATGCGTCTAATTAAATAAATAAATTGTAATGAGAAGCATTTTTAAGTTTTGAATATACCTGACATACTATCAATGATCACCTGGTATTTTTAATAAAACCATTTGATCATCTAAGTTTCACAATAATATAAAACTAGAAAACGATTGTTATTGGCTTCTATCTTGCTTAATGTTTGGTAATAACATTGGTCAGTAATTAATTAGTCTAGCTTTTTGGAAAGTTGTGATATGTCAATAAGTGTTCATTTGAAAAGAGATTATTCTACGGAGTCGTATCGTTGAAGCAACCGCCTGGATTACTTTTATACTTAATTTCCGGTCCCAAGCCCGGATAAAGAAAGAAGACTGGGATTGAGGTTAGCGACCACATCTCGTAGAAAACTACCTCGCTAAAAAAAACGCTAACCAGAAAAAATAATTCAAACCATTTAAACTCTGTCCTGGGAATTAGAAGGTCTTCATTTAGAAGAGTTATGACACCTCATGGTGAAAGTTGAGATCCTTCGGAAATCATGAGGCTGATGCCCCTTCTGATAACCAGAGCAACCATTAGTTGTGTAATAGTTAAAAATTAAACTTTTCGAACACAATGGTGATATGAAATACAAAATGAACACAAATTTCTAAAAAAAAAATAAGAAAAGAAGGAGAAAACACCTACCTCGTTCAGCAGCATTTTGAAAATCATTCACTGTAAGAAATCCACCAGTACTTTCATGTATTAAACCAACACTAACAGCTAAATCGAAATAATATGAAAATGCATAAAATTCACGTGTTTTCACTTCAATTGGTTGATGAACAATATTATTATTTGGTGGATATCTGATAACATTTATATCACCTATCAACAACAACAACAACAACAACAAAATAAAAAAATTAATTGATTGTTTATCACAGAGGAAAAAACAACAATAACAAAAGTCACATTGATTAAAGGAAAACAAACTTGACAATAACCTTATTGAATGAAAGTAGAACAAATAAGATCTTCTAAAGAATGTATTATGTTAATTTGTAAATTTTTATCTAAACTATATTCTTCAGTTGGAAAGACTATAATAAAACTAATTTTTGATAAATTAAATAGGTAAGTAGGTAGGTACGTACGTAGATATAGTAATGTCCTAAGACGTTGAAGCAATCGACTTTTTATTATTAGGTTGTAAATCTAACAGCTTAACTGTCTTGCTTAATTCATTGTAAGTAGTAGTTAGTTTTTTATCGCTATTATTACCATATATATATATATATCGATAAAAACTATAGCTTGATTCTCGAACGTTGCTGCTACCTTGACGTGGTGATCAGGCCTGCCTATCGTGATGAAATAATCAGGATATGCTGACTGGATCAATCGTTCCTCAAGTTCCTAGCATGCTAGGCAGGTTGGTTAAAGAGCAGTAACACTAAAAACAACAAACCCAAAGTTTGAAAGCGAAGTCGCACTGATGACTGTGTGTGACGGCAGCATGATGTTTCCTTCAGGCAACCAGCATAACAACGATGCTGCCTTCCCACAAGGAGGGGTAGGGTTATGAAAGGTTGACTATAAAAATGCATACCTCACCTTATCCCATGGATTTCCGTTTCCGGCGGTAAGGTCCCAACAAGTACGAAGCTAAAACGAAGACTACTCACTAAGAAATCGTGTGTGATCGGCCTCAAGCAGTTGTCCCTTGAGTACTGCGGTCACACTGTCAGGTCACTAAGACCACCTCTAACCAAGTTTCCTTTTCATGTACCGCCAGAAGAACCCTTCCACGGTGTGGGCAACCGGGAATTGATAACTACCCTCGTACCTCTAATAGCACTCAGGATCACTGTATTTATAACCAATCTCTCTCCTTAATTCCTATTATTCCTCCTACCTCGACTTTCAACTCTAAACTTTCTCTTTGACTTCATCCTCAAGTGTCACCGGAGCCAACGATTCTAGTGCGTAAAAAACTGTCCCGGGTGTATTGAAACCTCGCTCCAATCTACACACTGAAGCCTTCAAGGTACGTACCCTATGTCAAATCGGTCAGCAGGTCTCCTTGTCTGAGATCCTAGGATCTTGTGCTATTGATGTATGCTGTGTCTCCGGAACACGCATACAGGATCCTGATCCTAGTGTGGTCATTCACTTGACCTCACTGCCATAAACGGAGAGACGACGAGATACATCCTCCATGTATCTGGCGACACAATGGCTAGTTCTCGTGTGCTGGCAGGTGTAAGCATAGCACTAAGTACGAGGGCAGGACAAGCACTATTAGAATGGATCCCTGTTAACAGTCACCTATGTGTTGTTCGGCTAAACGACTCTTTAAGATATCGGAAGGAGAGGGACACACCTCGTTGCCTTTTCGTCGTTTCTGTCTGCGCTCCCACTGACTGCAGCCCGGATGAAGTGAAAAATGACTTTCACAGAAAGCTTTCTCGACTTCTTTATAAGGCTATACATTCAGACATAATACTCGTAGCAGGTGACTTTAATGCCCAAGTAGGTAGCTTAAACAAAACAAAAAGACATTTAGGTGGGTATTTTGGTATTCCCAGTCAGCGAACGGATAATAGTGACCGTCTGCTGAAACTGTGCTCAGACAATTGTTTATTTCTAAGAAGAAACAATTTTAAGCATAAATAGAGATATTGTTTAGCATGGAAACCCCCTAAACCAAACCAACGATGGACTCAAATAGAGCTTATTGCCATTGATCATCGTTGCAGAGACTCGATGGAAAACTGATGCTTGTTCTAGAATACATGTTTAGACTCTGATCATGCTCTAACACGAGCACGTATTTTTCTTAAGCCTTACTGGTTTGAGCCATGTTGGTAGATTCAGACTAATTGGTTGGATCCGCGCCACTATTGTAACCAGTGGTTGGAGACTCTGGGTGACATGACTCAGAATCAATCACAATGGTGCAAGTGTATAATTTTTATGGTTAGCGTTTTTTTAGCGAGTTAGTTTTCTACGGGATGGGGTCGCTAACCCCATGCCCAACCCTCCTCCTTTATCCGGGCTTGGGACCGGCAGTAGCCCCCGGAAAGGGACTCCAGGCGGAGTTGTGCAAGTGTATACACTGTTTATTTTCCCTTGAACCGTAAGCTTAAAACTGTTTTATACCTTTTTTTCCGCGAGCTAATTCTTTCTTCCTGTATAAAATGTTTTATTTACTACCAAAGAAGTAACTGCTTCTATGAATTTGGTATTCATCTTGTTGTACTGATGAGGTATGGCAACTTGAACAGATGCATATATGTGCCTGGTCCTATGTTGTAGATAACTAACTAAACTAAACTAATAGCTTAATTAATAAATAAATATGCACAATTAGTTATTAACGCATAGTTGTTGTATAGGGTTTTAAGATCATTCGTTAGCAATAGGTTATTTAATAAGATGTATATATTTCTATTGTCTTTGATCAAACTATTGAACTATGACTTTTTCCTCAAATTTGCCTCCTAGGCTTGTTTTTGTTATATAAGGTTTGTTTTAATTATATAATTATATCTGTTAATCTCGCCCCCGAAATGCCCTGGCACGGCCGAGAGTGGGGAGAGTCCGCTCTCCCTCTCCAAGTGCTCTCATATGGCCACGCGTATACAGCCACTGCCAGGGAAGTCCTACTCACTGCCTTCTCGTGGCATTACTGTTGTTTACGAAAATGAGAGGACGAAAAGCGAATGTCATGCACTTTAACCGGATTCCAAACCAATGGTGCACATAGGCTCAAGTATCCTGAGGGAACAAATGGCGTATGAACCAATCGTTGGTCACCGGCTACCATGTGACTGCATCTCCTTACGATGCTCCACTGCCTTGTGGGTCAGACCTTTAGGTCGAAGGCTTCGGGTGTGGCCCTTTGCGGAAACCACCTGCTTTGGTTTGGGCACCCGTGCAGTATCACAGCCTTTTTATTTATTTATTTATTTATGGCTTTATTCAATATTATATTTTGGTACAATATAGAATTCTCAGCACAAAAATATTTCAACAATTTTCTTTTACAGAACAAAAGAAAAAAAACGGTTAAAAAAAATCTGAATAATAAGAAAAAAAAACTGTACAACTTTTCAATTAGAGTCATGTTAAGAATGCAGATTATTGACTAGGTTAACTCTAACAACCTGTTCGTCACAGAGTACATTTGCTAGGTAAGGTACTATAGAACTTTTATACTTTTGCTTGCGTGCTTGGATTTTAATGTAATTTCGTCTCGTTCTACCAGAAGATATACAAGGAGAAAGATATGAGTGAAGGGGATGGTAAGTATCTGATAAAATAACATCTGCCAGGAGTTTGCATGACTTTAGATGTCTATCCACAATCATATTGATTATGGTCTCGAAAGATTCACCACATAACTTGCTAACTGCCTTCAGCGCTCTCCGCAGTACAGCAAAGTCTTTTCTCAAAAGCCCGGGAAAGAATAACGGAGAACAGTACAGAATAATAGGTAATATGCAAGAATTGACAAATTGTAGGAGTAAATAACGAGTGATCCCAAAGGCATGCAACCTCTTAATGTAGTATGTCAGACGGAAAACCTTCTTCGATAACAATAAAACGTGAGAAGATCAAGAGAGATCAGAGGAAAAGGTAACACCAAGATAATTGACCGTCGACACTGTGTTTATCAAAGAGTCGCCAATGGCACAAGCATTATGAGATCTCAAAAAGGTGTTTAAATGCCGATCATGTCTCATGCTAAAGTTAACAGCTTGACATTTAGACGGATTAAGTAGGAGACCATTAACGACAGACCAACTATCAATGCGAGATAAAAACTCGTTCATTTCTATAGGATGTAATGAGGAAGAGATAGGCATACAAACAGTGAGATCGTCTGCATATTTCACGAAAGTGTTTACTGTGGAAGATGGCAGATCATGCAGAAAAAAAGAGAAAAGAAGAGGTGAAAGAACAGCTCCTTGTGGTACACCTTCATAAGACACTAGAGACTCTGAACACTTTCCTCCAAACACCGTGTACTGTTCCCTTCCAGAGAGGTAGGAACATAGCCAGTTGGTTATCCAGCTGTCAGTGTTGACGCTGATTAACTTGTTAAGTAAACGTTGCCTTGATATAGAATCAAAAGCAGAAGTATAGTCCAGGAAAGCGCATCGAACATACTTCTTACCCTTTTCTAGGTTGAACACTATATTATGATGCAAAACAGCAACAGCATCTAGGGTGCTTCTTTTGCATCTGTAAGCAAACTGATACTGGTCAATGTGCTCTTTTATCGCAGGCTGAAGTGAAAGTGTCAATAATTTTTCCATTGCTTTGAGGAAGGGTGAAGTTATTGCAATGGGTCTGAATTTCACATTCTTATCACTAGATGATATCTTGGGTATAGGGATTATCTTCATCTTTCTCCACATTTTCGGTATGAGATTAGAAGAGAAGGATCTATTAAAGATAGTGGTGAATGGATAGCATAGGACGTCAGCACACTTTTTGAAAAGGAGGTTTGGGATACCATCAGGTCCCAAACATCGGGATGAATTTAGTGACTGGAGACATTTTTGGACATCAGTTTCGGTGAAACTAGGAACACAGCTATTTTTTAAACCCGTGAATAAAGGGAGTATCACATCAGATGATTGACGTAAAAAAGGCTTATTTAAGTCACAAACATCCAGCTGGTTATCGGTCCCAATCTGTCTGTCGCCTGTAAGTTCTTTAAAGAGTTTCCACATACTTGAAGAGTTTTTACAAGACAAGAGTTTTTGAGCAAACATAGTGTTGAGACGACTAATCTCGAGGTTTATCAGACCATTTAGCTTACGAACTTCACTAGAGTTTTTCTTTTTGTACATTATTTCTTTCACCCTCCGTAGTCGTTTTAGTTGTGAAGATGTAAGTCGATCAAAACTTACAAAAATAGTTTCAGTGGGACAACAAATATCAAAACAGAATTTAAGGTAGCAAGTGATAACATCAGTAGTGATTTCCAGTGAGTCATCTGTAAATAATTCCCAGTTGGTCGTATGAAACATGTCTTTCAGGTTTCGGATATTTACTTCTGAGTAATTCCTATATTTGACTTTCTTGCTTTGATTTAAGAGTGTACTCTTCCCATGCTTTCCATATACTTTAGGTAGAACACGAATTATACAGTGATCCGAGCTAGACAATGGAGCACGTTTACGAGTCACATATATACCTACATCATTAATGAAAACGAAATCTAAATGAGCATCCAACCGAGTACGAAAATCTACTACATTTTGGTGACCTAGCGATGTAAGGAAGCTACAGTCACATGAATTGAAATCACCACATACAACTGAAAGTGAATCACTGAAGGCAGTAACAGCGAACTCAGTGAATTCATCAGCGAAGACAGATAGCGCAGATGATGTGCAGTCTGGGGTCACATAGATATTGGTAACATAAACATATTTGTATTTATTTAGATGTTTTGGACGGCATCTTAGAGTTAGACAGTCGATAAAGTCATTTGAAAACTTGAAACACGCAAACGTAGATCGACACCAGTTCACGTTTACAAAAGTAGCTACACCGCCGCCACACCTCTTTTTATCGTTTGATCGATCCTGACGATAAATTTTGAAATCATGTAGGGATACTAGGCAGTCGTCCTGTAAATCGTTTAACCAAGATTCTTGAACTGTGATGACACCACAATTACGATACATACTTTGACTTAGTAGGGATTGAAGATAGTCTATCTTGTTAATTAATGATCGGCAGTTAGAATTGAGCAATTCGGGAATCGACATACGATTAATGTTTATTCTCTTCAACGCATATTGCCAACCACCACGATGTCTTTTATTGTAGGTTTTTGTAACTTGTGCAGCGAAAGGTCGTAGGCTTTTCATAAACGCGCCTGTATAGGTTATGCGATTAATGGATATAATGAGAGGTTAAAACAAAATGAAAAAACAGATAACTTGTTGAAATAACTAGATGGCAGAAACAGGTAGCCCAGATATTCAAGCAGGCCGCCAAAGGCAAGCCTTCACACATATCAAATGAGATTTGTGTAGCGCATATGTATTTGGTGCCTCCTTGTACCAATATCTATGTGTTAAAATAAACAATAATCTGTTAATCTCGTAAATTTACGCGGTTCACAATCTAAATGAAAACTAACTACTGATAAACTAAAATAAAAGTACCGCCATGATCGTTCATACACCTTTCTCTTACTGTTTTACCATAATAAAGAAACAAGACGTTATCACTAATATGATTTAAACATTGAACATACTTAAAGACGAAGATAGATGTTATAAGTACAAGACTATTCATAAACATTTAAGACTGAATATGAATGATAGTTAATCATAGAGTAAGAAATCTTTTATAGATAATTTTTATCAAATGGGTTTTGTGGATATTATATTAATTTCAAAGCTTAAGATCATGAGTCAGTTGCTGCGGAGTCCCACAACAGAACGAAACAGCCGTTTAGAGCTTCCAGGTTTTCCATGGTGGTCTAGTTTCAACTGACTCATGATCTTAACCATTGAGATAATTTTTAATTATTTACTAGGTGTGAGTACAGTCTACAGGTAAACTCAAGGAAGCTGTAAGTTATAACACTGGGTAAACGATAAATTATATTGTTGAATCAACATTACAAACATGGATATACATCAGCAGTTAAATATTAATCATAATTGTTTCATCAGCTCTATTTGAGAAATTATATACTGTCAGGTTATCCGATTACACTTATGAACTTGTCTGATATCGCATTAAACCATGTTAATTAAAGACATACATATGCACAGTATGTTTTCATTGTTGTTGTTGTTGAGTAAGTACAAAGTTTGCCAATAGATAACACAGATGAGAGATCGAAATCTTTAGTAATATAGACAGTAGTAGAAATAATGTAAGAAGTACATGTCAGAAAAGATGTATGAATGTAGTAATTTATAAGAAAGCTAGTGAGATCAAACTAAAACGTGGCATCAGTTCATCAAGTGTTAATGACAGATACTTCAAGATATGTTAGTAGATCCAGTCTGTTTAGCTTTCTGAAGGTTACTTCTCCAGCTATATTTTTAACTTAAGAAGGGGTTTTGTGGAAATTTTAGTAATTTCAATAGTTGAGATCATTAATCAATTCAAGCTAGACCACCATGGAAAACCTGGAAGCATTGGACGGACGTTTTGGCTTATTGTGGAACTCCTCATCAGTGCGCATCCACCTCACATAGCGAGATTCGAACCCAGGACCTACTGCTCTGGCGCGTGAGCACTTAACCACTAGACCACTGAGCCGGCATCCAATGGTGTTAATGTCTAACTTCAATTCATCCACGAAATTGAGCGACACTCATGATCTCAACTATTGAAATTATATTCTTAACATTTAGTTGTTATCGGTATTATTGCTTCGATGTTATTTCCATTCCCTTAGTATTCATCTTGGTAATTGATATGGTGTGGCGAATTCAGCCGATACATATTTGTACCATATTTTATGCTGCTTATGACTAACAGATACTTAAAAATTGTCACGCACACACACACACAAAGTCACCAGATTATATATAAGTTAATCAGATCAAATTTTACTTACCTTCAACAGGATTTTGTAATACATTTACTGCTAAAGCATAGCACAACATTAAGTGATCATTATCATTATTATTAGCATTAACATTGACCGGTTCAATTGCTGCTTGGTGATGATAAATTGATTTTGTTTTAATAAATGATAATAAAGATTTAGACATTGAATAATTCATACGACTGATTTGCCAATCTTTACCAGCATGATTCCATTTAAGCTAAATAAAGAACAATAATGAATGATTATTAATAAACGAAAGTATACAGAAACCGACAACTACTACTGCATTACATTTTTATTTCTAGGAAAACATATATATATATATATATATATATATATATATATATATATATATATATATATATATATATATATAGGCCTCAACATACGCAAAGGGAAAACCAAGGTCCTCAAATATAACACGGAGAACAGCAATCCAATCACTCTTGATGGCGAAACTCTGGAAGATGTAGAATCCTTCACATACCTGGAAAGCATTGTCGATAAACTAGGAGGATCAAATGCAGACCTAAAGAAGAGAATCGGCAAAGCAAGGGCCGCATTCCTTCAATTGAAGAGCATATGGAACTCAAAACAATTATCTTTCAACCAATATCAAAGTCACAATCTTCAATACGAACGTCGACATAGTTAGTTCTACTGTACGGAGCCGAAACGTGGAGAACTACAACAACTATCATTAAAAAGTTACAAGTATTTATCAATAGCTGTCTACGCAAGATACTCAACATCCATTGACCGGATACCATCAGCAACAGCTTTCTGTGGTAGAGAACAAACCAGCTTCCAGCTAAAGAGGAAATTAGGAAAAGATAATGGAAATGGATAGGACATACATTGAGGAAATCGTCAAACTACATCACGAGATAAGCACTAACCTGGTATCGTGAAGGGAAGCGGAAAACAGGAAGGCCAAAGAACACATTACGTCAGGAAATAGAATTAGATATGAAAAGGATGAATAGCAACCAGAAAGAGCTGGAAAGGATTGCTTAGGACAGGGTTGGATGGAGAATGCTGGTGAGGGGCCTGTGCTCCTTCATGAGGAGTAACAGGCGTAATATATATATATATATATATATATATATATATATATATATATATATATATTACTATTTTTCCCTGTTACATCAAAATGAATAGTAAATAAATTATTTTCAAAGACTTTTAATGATTGTCTTTGTTATATCCCGATGAGGATAATGAATGGCGGTAGCTGTCGGAATCTACTTCTGGACTAATACTATATGTATATTTTTATTGTATAATTATTAAGTAACTAAACTATTCATATTCATGTCTCTCTTATCATAAGATTTATTTTAACCTATGAACTGTTATTATACGATTTTCCATTCTTGAGTTATACTCAGTCTATCAATTACTATCTCCCTTATTCACAGCCACATTTGACTTGATCTTGTAAAATGTTGTTTCCTATTTTATGTTACGATATGGTCTATTTGGTTTGTATATAAACCTAGTATGTTTGAAATATAATGATTCATATTGCAGAGGCTGAGATTGGTGTTCTGGACGTAACAGGATGGGCTAGGTAGAAAGCAGGACCGATAAGGACTCTACGCTGCTCGTACGGGTTTTATGCTTCATTGGTCCAATCGATAGTTCACTGTTATCTAATTGGCGATATCATAACGTTATACATTAATAGGACACAGAGCACAATTCATAACAGTTTTAGACTTGGATTGTATGTGCATGATAGAACAGAGATTGAGTTAAAGTAATTTTAAGTGTTTACAATGTTTAACACAAGTGATTTTAAGTAGTTTCTAACCAATCACACATTCACATCAGTCAGTCAGCTACAACGTAGGATCAGGCAGATATGTACATCGGTCCAAGTTGCCATATTTGATTAGCACAACCAGATGAACACCCGGATTCGCAGAAGTAGTTAGTTCAGTGGTGGTAATACATAAAAGAAAGATTGCATATAAGAACATAGTACAGGAACAGAGAATTAGTTCGTAGAAAGAACATTCACATCAGTCAAACATTGAATGTTAGTACTTCATAAATTACGTTCAATCATTTCTTAACTTAATACTATGGTTAATATTATTATTATTATTGTTCTTTTGTTTAAGGTGCTGCTAATGTTTACCTTTTTTTGTTGTGTTAATATGTAAAGTATAACAACTTGACCTGATTCATACTATTTCCAGATCCTAGATCTTGATTATAAATGATACCTGAAAGTTTTCAACAAAAATCTAGTATTTTTAGTAATAGAGAGTTTAACATACAACACAAAATTAAACTTACAGTTACATTATTAGGCCAACAAGGGTGAAAAAACTCTTTCTTTCCTTCAGTAATTAACTTGAAATGTTCAGTTGCATTATGTAACATTGAATAACGTGCAGACATTAGTCCTAGGCCTAAGTAACTATGTGAATAGATCTGTAAGAAAAAAAATTAAAGTGTGAATAACTACTCACACTACTACTGAATAGTTAAGGACAATCTGTAGGAGACCATAAGACTGGTTTCATAATAGTTAGCACTAAGCCGTCAGTATCAAACTATACAGGTCAAAATAACTCCCTAGAGAGAGTTGAGAGGCTCACACTAATCTATCGCCATGACAGTAACCATAGTATCATACTATCCAATCTCTAGTCCTGATCTAAACCTGTAGAATACTGCAATTTAACGACAAAACTACTAGGTTATGTGCTTTGATATTGTAGTGTATTCATTTGATGTTAAGTAGTTGGAGGGAATTGATAATAGTAAGTCCTGGATCAAGTTTTTATGCCGATCGATATTTCGTCTAGTATACATTGATAAAAACCGAGTAACACTAGGGATTGAATAACATGATTTGCGTTTGTACGAAATGATCGATTACTGTAAGGCATATATCTATTATATTTGATCTAGAATGGAATATATTATTTGGTCACTTAAATAAGTTATAAACATACTTAAAAAAAAAAACAACTTACTGACCATACACAGATAAGATGAAAAGACGTGTTTCTAGACTATAATATGCCCATGATATGACTACAGTGAAAAAGTTCAAGGTTGTTTGCAAATCAACTCGATGGTGTAGCCTCAAACGCCCTAATCACTTGAGATCATGAATTTCATGGAGCCGGATACATGTTTTTCATGTGTGGTTAACAAAACCTAAAATAATTTGATTTAGAAATCCTTTACAGACAGATTGAGGTTCCATCAATTTTTATGGGGGGGGGGGCGGGAAATAAGAGCTATTGAGTATGACGTGACTTATGAATACTAAAAAAATAATAAATAAAGTATTTTGAAACCGGTCATTGAATAAATTAGACTTCACTTTACGTAGTTTGTAACAGTTAGAAATCTACTGTTAAGTGATATGAATGGAAGTAGACGGAATCGACGTGAGAGTCTTAAAAATAACCCGCTAAGAATTCAATTTTCATCTAGTAACTCATAGAATTGAATATAGCTTCACTGAATTCAGTTATAAAATTGAAATAGTAACTTTCAACTACTAAACATAATTTGAATACATTTTAAGTAAAGATGGATAGTGGCTAGCAGTGGAATCCTAATTGAAACTCGTCAGCTGGATGTACTTGCATCTCTGGATTCCACTGATAGCCACTATTCATATTTGCTTAAAAAATCTTGTGATTTAAGACTATACCAAGGCAACCAACACATAGGATGCACATATGCCAACATGAGACTGATCAATTGCAGTCCTAAATAACAATGGGAAGATACACGTAAAACAACATCAAGTGAATTTATAATTTGAATAAAATTCAAATAATCAAATTCACTGCATAAAATAGATAAGTATTGCTTCTTATCGTATGATTCGGTACTTATAATAACCAACAGATGTAACTTAAACGTACAATTCATTAGCTAATTAGATGTTCATGTGCTGAGAATTCTATATTGTACCAAAATATAATATTGAATAAAGCCATAAATAAATTAAAAAAAAATTAAAAAAATGACAAAGTACTAAGTTTCATAGTAGTTAGGCTAAGGGTAACAGTCAGTCATTCAGTGGTCTTGAGTGCTGTTAGAGCTTTGAGGGCGGTTATCAATTCCCGGTCGCCCACACCGTGGAAGGGTTCTTTTAGAGGTACCTGAAAAGTAAATTGGATTAGAGGTGGTCTTAGTGACCTGAGAGCGTGACCGCTGTACCCAAGGGACAGCTGCTTGAGGTCGGTCACGCACGACCTTTTTATGAGTAGTTTTTGTGTTAGCTCCGTACTTGTTGACAACTTACGCCGGAGACGGATATCCGTGGAATAAGGCAAGGTGTGCATTTTTAGGGTCGACCTTTTCTAACCCCACCCCTCCTTGTGGGAAGGCAGCATCGCTGTTATTCTGGTTGTCTGAAGGAAACACCTTACTGCTGTCACACCTCTGTACACTCAGCAGTACGACTTCGCCTTCAGACCTTGGTTTTGTTGCTTTTAGTCTTACTGCTCTTCAACCGACCTGTCTGGCATGGTAGGACCTTGAGGAACGGTTGTTCCAGCCAGTATAGCTCAGTTGCTTCATCACGAGAGGCAAGCCCGACCACCACGTCAAGGTAGCAACAACGGTCGGGGGGGGGTAACAGTAATTATATCCATCCATTTAACCAAACCCAAAATGTAAGTGAAATAAATTTCAGTCACTTAGATACTAGATCACAAATGTATGTGAACAAATGAACAAATAACAATACAATAAAATGGACAACAAATACCTTTTGTTTCGGTTTATCATTACTATTTTGTACGTCAAAATATGTAATAAAATTATCAGGTGCATTGTTGAGGGTATTTAACTCAGTGGGAATAAATGTAATTTGTGTAGAACCTCCACCTAGATCTAATGTACCAATTGTTTGTGTAAGTGAATTTTCAATCACTGCATTATTCTTTTGTGCTTTTCCATTTGATAAACGATTATTGAGAAAGTTTAATGTTAACCATAAATATAGACCTTCATAAAATCCATCCATAATAGTTACAGCGTTAGGTATTTGTTTAAAACAAGTTTGAGATAATCTATGTCGTACCTGGATAGATAGAAAAACAAATAAAAGACAATACATATCAGAATGTAAATCAATCTGAAATGACTTGGATTATTATGTTGTCGAGCCTGGAGTAAACATTAAGTTTAAGATGCAGCTACATCTAGCTGACGAGTCCTGAATGGAGTGAAACGTGAGTCCTAGGTTCCACTGCTAACTACATTCCATCTATTCAACATTGTACTAGAATATAGTTAACAAAGCATAGAAATTAAATTTAGCGCAAAATAGATAGCTGAATATTAATTTAGTCTATTACAAAAAAGAAAAAGTGACAGTAATCATTAAACGATATTGGAAGTGTACAATTGTCTCCATATGTAGTTGGACACTTTTTCTAATTATATGCTTTGATATTGGTTTACGTAAACAATAATTACGATTATTTTTTATACTACACTCTACAATTATAAACCCAAAAATATTAAAGTTGAATTAATCCATGTTTACATTGAAAATGGTGAATTTCACGTCAATTGAATCTTCAATACCACAAAATAATACAAAATACTTCTAACACGTTGACTAAGCAGATCCGTTGTAAGGACTTCTATTGCTGCCAAATTAAACACAGCTTTCATAACGAAGTCAATACTGACGCAGCCAACTTGAGGATAAGATGCTAGTGATCGGTTCATATGTGGATGTTTATCAATTTAACTGTTCCTGTTAGGCTAGTTACATTAGTCATACTTAAAGGACCTCATATTCAAGCGTTCGTGAACACTTACTGGCATGTTCAATAGAAAGCGTTACGACGTCTATCAACAGTGCTATTCCTTACCACTTAATCGACTATGGACATTACATTAAATTTGAAAATATCTTCTCAATCCCTAATCATCTACCAAAAGGCACAAGATTACGCTTACCCTATATAGTTGAAGCTGTTAGTATCAACTCGAGCAAACCTAACTTATGCATCGCAAAAAAATACCTTCAACTTGTTATCTCATTCTCAGTTCCAATTTTATTAGTATACAAAAATCTTACTCCGTTTCATTGTGATTTAAACTCTCTTCCATGTCATCCAATTATCTTTAATTCTTATCTTGTATTAGAACTTGTTTTTACAAACCATTTTAATCCACTGATTCGAACTTACCACCTTTTAACATATAATTCCTCTTGCCCTTTATATGTAACTACTTTTAACATTACAAATGACGTGTTATGTAATAATTACGATTCATTCGATGTCAAATTTGGCATTTTCAATATATTTCACAGTTGAAATCATGAGTCAAATGAAGCTAGACCACTATGGAAAGCCTGGAAGCACTGGACTGCCGTTTCGTCTTAGTATGAGAATCTTCAGCAGTGCATATTCCCGATCCCGCCCTCCGCGAGATTCGAACGCAGAACCTATTTTCAATATATGACATGAACTAATTAGATTTTAATGTTTTATTTATTGTTGAATTGGAATTGAACATCTTTTGTACATATTTTTGTACACATTTTTTTATATACAGCATTTAAAAGTACACGTTTATTTACTTAGTTTCGAGTTACACTGTTTCAATCAGTCAATAATGGTTACGTAGAACCTGGTTGCATATGTGCATCACTGCAAGTTGCAACACCATATTAATACAGAGAGATGAAATTACTAAGACAAATCCCATGGTAGTGAAAGTATAATTAAGGCATAAACAATATGATTCGAGAAGAATAAATCCATGAAATGAAAAGTATTAAACAATCTTAACACTAAAAACTCAAGGGTGGACAAACAGCTAATGCATCTACACCATTGTGATTCATCCTATCCCATAACATCCAACATATTCAACCTCCGGTTATGGTAATTGAGCAGATCAGGCACAATGTTTATGTAAAGGTTATTGATACTAATATTGGACCAAACTGAAATAGATAGATAAGGGTTTGAAACAGGAAGAACTATTAATTGAAAATTTAGTAATTCAACGAACTAAACTACAACTATTACTACGTAATTGAAATCCCTTAAATGATTATTAGCCTTCAGCTCACTTAAAACTTTAAAATAAAATCGTCAAAAATTTATATTCAATTAAATTTAAGCAAATAAATAATAGTTGAGTTCATGAGTCAATTAAAGCTAGACCACCACCATGTCAAACCTGGAAGCACTGGACGGCCATTTCGTCTTATTACGGGACTCCTTAGCAGTGCGCACATCCACTGATCCCACCTCGCAAGATTCGAACCGTCAAGTGCTTCCATGTTTCCCATGATGGTCTAGCTTTAATTGACTCATAAACTCAACTATTAATTTACTACAATCTCCACAAAAAAACCCTTCAGATAAAAATAAATACATTAAACAACAGAATAATAACATACAGCTTTTAAAATATTCTCTGCTTTATGCGCAGAAATTAGTCGAAGACCAGCAGTAGCTCTTAAAATAACTGGAGTATTACGACAGACATCAACAGGAAGACTAGTTTCAGCAATATTAATTAATTTTGTTAAACTTAATGCTGCCTCTTCTGGTTTTTCCGCATATGAAGATAAACCAGGTTGAACATGATGATATTTATCATCCAATAGTGTAAACGGTTTGAAAGGATCTAATAATTAAGTGAAAACAATAAGATGCAAAAAACGTTTTAATCAATTTTCTGAATACAGATGATTAAACTAGGTTAAACCGAAAAAAACCCTCATAACTATCGTTTATTTCCTTGATAGATCACTGTAAGTTCAATCCTACTCTGTTCGCGTGATGTTAGATAAATAATACAGTAAGTTAGTGGATTTTGTAGGTTTCATCACAAGATAACAGATTATTATTATTTCCTTATTTAAACACATAAATATTGGTACAACAAGGCAACAAATAGATATGCGCCACACAAATCATTCGATTTGTGTAAGGTCTGGAATACTGCCCGGGTGCCCAAACCAAAACAGGTGGTTTCCTCAAAGGGCCACACCCGGAGCCTTCGACTTAAAGGTCTGATCCACAAGGAAGTGGAACAACTTTGGGAGATGCAGTCACATGGTGGCCGGTGGCCAAAACTAAGTTCATACACCATTTGTTCCTTCATGATACTGGAGCCTATGTGCACCATTGGTTTGGAATCAGGGTTTTCCAACTCCCGTAGGTGGACTCTCTGTATCCACCAACCCGGTTAAAGCGCTGGACAATTGCTTTTCGTCCTCTCAATTTCTTAAACAACAGTGATGCAGCGAGAAGACAGTGAGTAGGACTTCACTGGCAGTGGTTGTATGCACGTGGCCATGTGAGAGCATTTTGAGAGTGAGAGCTAACTCTCCCCACACTCGGAAGTACCAGGGCATCCTCGATAACTAGAGGATTTTCCGAGAAATCACAATCTCCCATTCTATTAAAATTTGAACCGTCATCATTACTATTATTATCATAATTATTCCAGATACTACTGACAACTTTCAACAAAAAAAACTTTTTGAACATAAAATTCTCATCAAATGACAATTAAGCTAATTCCCTGAATCATAATACCGGTTGGATTATATCAATGATGTTTTTAACTTAGAGTGGCTCCATAAAAATTTTTTTTGAAAAGTTATTTAGATTAACATTTGATCAGATGAACACAATAAAAAGACAGACATTATAAAGTCGAATTTTCATTCAACAGTGTTTCAATCCCGGTCATCATTATGTTCAGTATTAGAATAAAAAAAAAACAGACAAGGAGAGTTTGTTTGTATGGGAAAGCAAATGAATTAAAAGTACTGAAATACATTGAAACCGAATATTCTACTAATACATACATTTATCTTTAAAAAAAAAACTGAACCATAATCTTTCACTTTTCAATGAAATATTTCAATCCAAATTGCATAATAATACAAGTAGTCTTGGTAATAAAGCTTGAATATTACTAAAAAACCACACACAAACAAAAGAAGGTAACAGTCAGTCAGTCAAATACAACGTAGGATCAGGCACGTATATGCATCGGTCAAAGTTCCCATACTGCATTAGCACAGCAAGACGAACATCGGATTCATAGAAGTAGTTACTTCAATGGTGATAATATATAAAAGAAAGATTGCATATAAATAAATAGTACAGGAAGAAAGATTTAGTACGTGGAAAGAAAGTCATGAAGCGGTTTTAATCTCTTAGTTTAAGGGAAGACAGAGAGTGTATACACCGACGTCACTGTGATTGATTCTGAGCCATGTCACCAAGAGTCTACAACCATTGGTTACGATAGTCACGCGGACCCCAACCAGGCAGTCTGAATCTTCCAACATGGCTCAGACCAGAAGTTAGTGACTTCAAGCACTGATGCCACGTTTTGGTTTGGCCGCCCCTAACTTTCTTCCAACCATCCCTAACACCGGTTAGCATTGCGCGTCGTGGTAATCGGTGTTCAGGCATACGTAACACGTGAACCAACCATCTCAGTCGATGAAGATTCATAACCTCATCAACTGATTTACCATCATTCCCTAATACCCTACGTCTAACCTCACTATTACTTACCCGGTGATCCCAGAAGATGTGAGCAATATTTCCAAGGCATCTGTGGTCAATTACTAGTAGCTTACGTATATCTTCTACTCTTAGTGGTCATGTTTCGCAGCCATAAAGTAAAACAGAACGAACTGCTGCGCAGTATGCTCGTCCCTTAATTAATAGATGGAACAAAAGAAGGTAACAATAACAATTAAAACTAATCTTATATTAAAGTGAATTAATGCTGTATGATGAGTAGTGTCGTTTTCTCTGAGCTGGATGTGATTTAATTACGAAATTTCCATAGTCATTCTGGACAATATCATTAGTATCTACATCATGTAGAACTGAGCACTTTTGTTATTTAACAAATATTCAATCAGTTTACCTGGGTTGGAAATCTTCACCATTAATGTTATGTGTAAATCCAACCCTATTATAAGTTCAAATGACTACTCATACTAGCCAACATATACCATTTCAACACATTTATTCAAATAGTAGACTATATGATTAATATTTTATGGTAATTATTCTGTTCGAATGTTTCGAATGAGCGCCCGGGTAGTATTCCAGACCCCACACAAATCAACGATAACTACTACTGGCTTCATTGTTATTGTGTGGTGCATATGTATTTCATGCCTCTTAGTACCAATGTTTATGTGTTCTAATAAATAATAAATAAGAACAAATCGTATGAGTTTATTATTTGGCCAACCATATTACACTAGATGCTAACAATCTATAAGTTTTTTGATTGGCACTGAATAGCAAAATCTAATCAGCATTAAGGACCAGGAAAACGTAACACTAGTTTCTATTCAGTGATTGATCATTTTAAATAACCTTAAATCTATAAAAAGACCCTAATGGCTCAGTGGTAGCTTTTCCCACCGTGGAAATGAGTGATGAGTGTCTTGAACTCTCAAAGGGAGCACCTTGCTGATATTGGGTGTTAGACAAGTATGAATCTAGGCTAGGGGCTTTCCTAACAACTTAACATTGATCATTTCGTACATTTCAACTATGCAGAAAACAGATTAACGTATCGACGTTAACAACAAAGCTTTCAAAAAAATGGTCAACCCTACAGAGAGACAATGATTAGTGATTTTAGCAATTAATTTTCATACAATGATTCACAAGTCCAAAGTAACTTTGATCTGGATAGAATTATATCTGATAAGAGTTGACTACGAATACTACAGGGTGATTGTTGAGTCGCACTGACATGACACTGAAGTCACTAACGGTTCAAAACAGGTACAATACAGTTCTTTGAATTTATCATCGAAATACATGTTACGCTAAGTTGGAAAGAAATCAGCTCTATAGTTATCTAACTGGATTAGTCATACTATTAACTGAAATAACATTTTATTCTGAAAACCTATTACATCCTACTGCTTTTCCTAATTTGTAATTTGCTGAATACGGAATATCTTATAAAGATCCTTTTTTCATGCAATATATGTTGGAAATAAATCGAACACTTAAGCCATAAATCAACAAATGCCTTGAAATCCAATTTGATATAATTACTAGTTCAAATAGTATAAAATGCCCTGGTACTTCCGAGTGTGGGGAGAGTTAGCTCTCACTCTCAAAATGCTCTCACATGGCCACGTGCATACAACCACCGCCAGTGAAGTCCTACTCACTGTCTTCTCGCGGCATCACTGTTTTTTTAAGAAATTGAGAGGACGAAAAGCAATTGTCCAGCGCTTTAACCGGGTTGGTGGATACAGAGAGTCCACCTACGGGAGTTGGAAAACCCTGATTCCAAACCAATGGTGCACATAGGCTCCAGTATCCTGAGGGAACAAATGGCGTATGAACCAATCGTTGGTCACCGGCTACCATGTGACTGCATCTCCCAAAGTTGTTCCACTTCCTTGTGGATCAGACCTTTAAGTCGAAGGCTCCGGGTGTGGCCCTTTGAGGAAACCACCTGTTTTGGTTTGGGCACCCGGGCAGTATTCCAGACCTTACACAAATCGAATGATTTGTGTGGCGCATATCTATTTGTTGCCTTGTTGTATCAATTTTTATGTATTTAAACAAATAACTAAATAAAATAGACACTTAATAAGGATCATTATTGTTTTAATATATAAAAATTGTATGTGAAACAATATTCTTGTTTATGCTGTCTAGCATGACAACAAAACATCCAACAATTAAGTTGGGGAGACGAACAAAAGATTAATCTAAGTAACAAAAATGAGTTTTCGACGGTAGGACATATATGTATATAAAAAATATTTATACATACCTAAGGGATTATGAACTAATTTGAATATGTGAACACGGCTTCCAGTGCTTCCAGCGTCGAACACAACACCATATACATAGTTTGTTTTTGTCGTTGCTACTCCTGCTATTTGTGGATTAATTTTATTATTATGATGATCATAATAATTAATATTTACCGTTATCACTTGTATATGTAAAACGTGTTTTACCCCAAGGATATGGAGATATAGATACACCACCTGTAAATTTATTATCATGATTACATTGAAGTAGCCTACTAAACCATGTTGAATCAGATATGTAAAATGCTAACCATAAAAATAATAAAAGTGTGATACCAATACACGAATAGATAACTCTTCTTAGCTAAAAGTCGAAAGAAAAAGAAGAAAAGAGAGAAGAAAATCATACTGGATACATTTGTACAATGAAGAAACAAACAATGAAAAACGCGTGAAAAGTATGTTATTGATTGAGATCATGAGTCAATTGAAGCTAGACCACCATAGAAAACCTGGAAACACTGGACGGCCGTTTCGTCCTATTGTGGAACTCCTCAACAGTGCGTATCCACGACCACGCTCGCCGGATTCAAACCCAGGGCCTCCAGTCTCGCGCGCGAACGCTTAACCTACTAGACCACTGAGCCGGCATCCAGTGGTGTTAATGTCTAAACTCAACCAATCCACGAGATTGCGCGACTAATTTTCATTGTACTGAGATAGATACCTGTCTCTACCCGACACGGATTAGCTCCACTAGTCACGGCTTCTCACTAAAACTCCGAGAATTCCCTCACGAAGCTAGTCACTAGTGAGCACATGTTAATTACCAGTATAGGGGTTGTGGAGATTATTAAGTTTTTGATTGAGATCATGAACCGATTGATGTTAGATCCCACGAGCGGGATCGTGGATGCACACCGCTGAGGAGTCCCACAATAGGACGAAAAAGCCATCCAGTGCTTCCAGGTTTCCAACGGTGGTCTAACATTAATCGGTTCATGATCTCAATCAAAAAATTAATCTCCACAACCCCTAAACTGGTAAAAATATGTTAGTCGCTTTGAATAATTTAACTGGATATTGAGATGTGAGGAGATTCAGTACTAATCTTGACCTATAGGTGTTTTCCATCAGTTTGGCTTCTATGGTATTCACTTTTTATCGCGTAATGTATCTGATTCACAAATCCCTTTATCACTTGTTTATCCAAAATACAACGGAAATATACCGACTATGGTGGTGGTTTTTATTTTGAAATTTTCAGTGGTTAGCTTTGTGAATAGGTTGTACGCTTCTTTATAGAAATATTTGATCGTAAAATGCGATTAACAAGCAAAACTAATTACTTAAAGCAAATCTAAAACAAGATGTACTTTTATATTTGTCCGGTTGAAAAATAAGTGACCTAGAATAGATCATTACACATGTTTGGTAGGATACACCCAAACCAATCACACTGCGATAGGTAATTGTTAAATGAGGTTTAACAATATTATATTGGTTATGGGTTGAGAATTATTTCACTACATGAAAACGCAGACGATTGAGAGATTCTTCTAGTACAGAATGAAATCATCCCTAACTAAATAGGTAGGACTGATGCAAAACAACTTTTCAAAGTTAATAACTCACAAGTAAATAAAGGCGAGTGGTTGCTTTATTCCATTCGCCACAAAGAGGAACTAACTTACGATGGAGAACAAATCGTTGTATTCTGGTATTCAGTCATTCTTATCGTGAAGGATCGCGTTAATTTCGTATAATAAAATCTTGATTATTTAAGAGGACTTCAAATACTTATTCATTAATGGGCATGAAAAACTGCCTCCAACTACTTGAAACCACAGCAACTAATGAAATAGAAATCGATAAGTATGGACACTGACAATGTGTCTCAGAATGGTGAACCCGAAAATCGATAAACATGAAAACTTTTAGATCAGCATGGTAATGCTAAACCATTAAACGAAATAAGATAGTAATTTAATATTCCGTATAGTTAAATACAATGGACAGCTCTGATGCAACTATACGATTTGGGCTTCGTAGATCACCTAGCTCTCCTATCCCATACACATCAACAAATGCAAATAGAGACAATCAGTGTAACAGCAGTCGCTGCATCAGCAGGACTCAACATACACAAAGGAAAAAGCGACTTCCTCAAATACAACACGGAGAACACCAAACAATCACATTCGATTGGGAAACTCTGGAAGAGGTGGAATTCCACGTGCCAGGACGGCATCATCGTCGATGAACAAGGAGGATCTGATGCAGACGCAAAGGTAAGGATTTTTAAAGAAAGGGCGGCGTTCCCACATTTGACGAACATATGGAACCCAAAACAATTATTTTTCAACCAATACGAAAGTCACAATCTTCAATACGAACGTCAAAACAGTTAGTTCTATTGTACGGAGCTGAAACGTGGAGAACTACCACAACCATCATCAAAAGGGCACAAGTATTTATAAACAGTTGTCTATGCAAGATACTCAATGTCTGTTGTTGACCGGATACCATCAGTAACAGTCTACTGTGGGAGAGAACAAAACATCTTCCATCTAAAGAGAAAATTAAGAAAATATGTTGGAAGTGGATAGGTCCTACATTGATAAAATCAAACTTCATCACGAAGTAAGTACTAACTTGTAATCCTGAAGGAAAATGGAAAAGAGGAAAACCAAGGAACACACTGTGTCGAGAATTGAAAACATACATGAAAAGGATGAATGGTAACTGAAAGGAACTGGAAAGGATTTTCCAGGACAGATTTCGATGGAGAATGCTGGTGGGCGGCCTATGCTTTTTACGGAGGGTAACAGGAGTAAGTAAATACAGTCGACAAGTAGTGAATATTGCTTTCGAGTTTGTAACAATTTTCATCTAATCTACTATGAAACAGTGAAAAATAGTTAGATCAATAATGTCAAAACTATATATATATATATATATATATATATATATATATATATATATATATATATATATATATATATATATATGTTGAGAAATGTAATTAAACTATTCAACGTACCATTCGATGATAGCTAGATCTTAAATACGACGAAGGTAATAGACCAATAAACAAACGCTGATAATTCACAAAAGGTATCATTGGTGATTTGTCTGAATTACTAATATAATTACTCTCGTATTCTATGTTTAAAAGTTTTATCATAATTTAATACATTTGGAATCTACCAATATCTAAAATATAGAAAAAATCATCAATGAAAGAATGAATAAATAAACTATTAAACAACGATAAAAAATGTAAATTTATATCAAATTAAACTATTCAGTACATTAATAACAAGTAAATGGAAGATAAGTAGGTTTACTATATCAATATGGGTTATAGATAAAGTAACACCATGTGGTACTGATTTGGATCGATCAATTTATACACACTATATCAAAGAAATGACCTCTCCCCCCCCCCAAAAAAAAGAAAGGTTGACTAAAAGAATAGCAATAGTGATGACTTAATACCAATGATAATGGAACATAAAGAGAAGCAAAATATAGTTCACATCATATGTATATATTTTTTCTCGTAGGTTATTTTTTATATAGTTTAGCTTTTAGAAGTCGGTTTTCTCTGTGGAGACTCTCATTCAATTGAACGTGAAAACACTGATAAAATGAATTTTCCTTTAAGACTTAATCATTTACATAAGCGATTCATCAGATAAATGCCTTTCCATGATCATTTTGATTACTTACTAAAGAATTCAATTTCTGACTATTAATGGTAAGTACTTGTAGAATTCGGAGCGTAAGAATACGAAGCTTATAAACTGATTGGAGGAGAGCAGTTTAGGTTTCTTCAAGATTGTGAATAAACCAACTGTTTTTACATATATATAAAAAAAAACATTTAAAAGCTGATTATCCCATTTTTATGCAACATTACAATTAAAGAATACTCGGCATATTCAGGAATCGTACTTTATTTCTGCCAACTTTCATCATTTGTGGTGTGGATGAGACATCTATCCGCCAACGAAGCGGCGAGTAGACTGAGCAGAAATTCTCTCTGAATAGGTTGAAATAAAATTAAGGTAGGCTAAGCGAATAAATGGAATTAGTTCATTAAGTCATTTACTGTTGGTCTAAGCCGTACGAATGAACGTAGTCTCTTTGGTTGGTTTCTGTGTGACAACCGCGATCAGTGGTTGGAGATGACTCAGAATCATTTGAAGTGGCGTAGATGTATTCAGGCTTAAACCCTGAGATTCAATGACATGTCTTAATTTTTATTTCTTAAGTTGCCTGAAACCATAGTTTTCAATGTTTAATCTTTCTCATTACAACCGTAACTACTATTATTTCGAAACTTACTATTGATCTTACTAAATTCACTTCATTGAGCTGCTGCCAACTTTGACTGAAGCAGATTTTTATCAAGTCATATGCTTATTTATACTAACTGGCTGAAAGGAAATAATCATATCAGTGGGGATCGAAGATATGTTTCATTAGTTGAATAGAAATAGGGTTTAACTGTTACAAAAATGTACATCGAGGGCCTTTTTAAACACTGAAAACTTTCCACAATAGGGTCGCAAGTAAAATCAAACAACAACAAGTACAAGAATAAGTGGTTGCTCTCACTACCGTTGTACCATCGATAACATCCTAGAAACAGTCCTGAAGTGCATGATAATGGTGTAAATCTTTTACTTAGATCTAGAATATGGAATTAAGTATACTTTTTTTTACTATGAAATGGTATATAACCAACATGAACAGTATTTAGTTAGCTGGGCGTCAGCGCGTAGTGTCAATAAAGGAACAAGGACGCCTACCAGGCTAAGAGGAGCATCTCTCTACATTCATGTTTGATATCGAACAATTTAGAAGAGTGGAATGTTTTTTAAGTAGTAAAAGATGAATTGGATTTCCATATAGTTAAGTTCAGAGAGGTTTATTTTTATCTGAAAGATCTTGAATGTTTTGACGCTGGTCAAATCACAAGAAATCAGGTATTCGATGCAAATTTTACTGAATGGATGTAAGACTAAAAATAATTAACGATTGTACTTGAGTATCGTTGTTTTCAAATATTTGTTGAGAAATGTTATACTGAGATTCGGTAGTGTGTACTTCAGTATAGCAAAAATTATGATACAAGAACAGCTATTATCATTAACTATTGAACTAAAATACCGGGTTAGGGTTTATTTATTTATTATTATTTATTTATTTTAACACATAGGTATTGGTACAAGGAGGCACCAAATACATATGCGCCACACGAATCACAATTGATTTGTGTGAGGGCTGTAATACTGCTCGGGTGCCCAAACCGAAGCAGGTGGTTTCCGCAAAGGGCCACACCCCGAACCTTTGACCTGATCGTCTGATCCACAAGGCAGTGGAGCATCGTAAGGAGATGCAGTCCCATGGAAGCCGGTGACCAAGAAATTGGTTCATACGCCATTTGTTCCCTCAGGATACTGGAGCCCATGTGCACCATTGGTTTTGGATCTGGTTAAAGTGCAGGACATTCGCTCTTCGTCCTCTCATTTTCGTAAACAACAGTAATGCCACGAGAAGGCAGTGAGTAGGACTTCCCTGGTAGAAGCTGTATACGCGTGGTCATGTGAGAGCATTTGGAGAGGGAGAGCGGACTCTCCCCACTTTCGGTCGTACCAGGGCATTTGGGGGCTAGGGTAAAATAATACATTGAAAATACCTAGATAAATTGAAGTGTAACAAAGGAGCTCGTTACAATATTAGAGTAATCACAATATTTTCCTGTTTTTCAGAATTTTCGGCTGACTCAGTGGAATATCAAACAACATGAACATAGATGTGATACATCGTTTCCAGTACGAAGACTGAATGGAATGATGCTTATGTAGACTAGAAGACCAGCAGAGATTTCAAGACTGGAGAATTATGACTTCCAATAACTTTTCACTCCATCAACAACAGAGGAGAGTAGCTCAGTGATTAAAGCGACTAACTTTCAACCACATGAGAAACCGATTCAAACCCTGCTTTATTCTGACTTGGTTCGAGCAAGCAATGGTGAAACTAGTTATGTACTTCATAAATGAGTCACAAAGTTATGAAACGGTTTCATGTAACTAAGACAACAAATAAAATACTCAAATGGTCAGAACCTACAGAAACTGTTGCATGGGTTAACAGAGTTCAGATAATAAGACAGTAAAACAAATAAGTGTAAAAACAACTCAGTCAGTCAGTTAGTAACAACGTGGAACTTCGTACGTACGTACATCGGTTCGAGTTACCATACCACAATAGCACAGAGATTCAGTTATCGATTCAAATCCCGTAGTGGGAGAGGTGGTGAAATGTAGTAATAGGGAACATTAAGGTTTGATGTTATTCAAGGAGTATAATCAAGTGGAATAGATTTGGAAAGAAAATAAAGGACATGAAGAATTTAGAAGATTAGAGTTTGAGAGAACACAAAGAGTGGATGCACCTGCACCATTGCAAACGATTTTGAGCCATGTCATTCAAGGTCTCTAACCATCGGTTGTTATCGTCTCGCGGACCCCAACCAGGTAGTCTACATCTACCAACATGGATCAGTGGACTTGTCAGTGACTTCATGGATTTGTGCCATGTTTTGGTCTGGCCGCCCCTAGCTTTCTTCCAACCTACTCCTACACCATGAAACATCGCACGTCGGGGTAGTAGGTGGTCGGGCATACGTAACACATGTCCTGGCCATGTTGTAAAAACAACTTGTTATCGACATATCTCTTTCAACTAATAAATGAATTTTCTTACGCGGACTAATGTGGTAAATGAGTAATTGATATTAAAACGTTCTTTGTGTTCGCAAAATTTTATTCAGACTAGTAGGTAACAAACTCAGTATAGAGTCTCCTAAGGTTACTGCCAGCCACAAGCTCGAGTAAATGAGCGTTGGAAAACCCAAATCATATAAAAATACTGTTATAATGACGTCAACCAAAGTAGACCAACCAATTCACCTAAACTCTGCGATGGGATTTAAAGAGTTAGTAAAGAAGGGTTATGATACTGCCATTATCAGGTGGTCCTCAAGCTGAGATCGAGACTAAAGAAGTACTGGACAAACGCCATTACAAGAGTTTAATACAACCTTCCTTCGGAATGCTAAGATTCAGTGAATTCGAGATATCACTAAGTGGCAGGTTCAAAACCTCAAAAGATCTACTAAAAGAAACTACTATGAAGAAGTGAAAACAATTAAAAAAATTACTACAACACGCCGAAAGGTGTTGGGTAGCAACAAACACCAGCATAAAGAATAAACCTCGATAGACACCTTGGGCAAGATGCAACAAAGGAAAAATAGGACGGAGATCGACAACAGTCGAACAAGAGCAGATAAATTCAAGGTTTAGAATGCAGAAGCAGACAAACGAGAAAACATTAGAACTGGTAGGAGAAAATGTGTGAAAGTGAGACAGAGAGAAAGAATCGACAACTATATGATACAACGAATCGAGCAGTGAAATACAGACGTTCAGCTTCGAGATCAACTGACGGGATTCTGAAGGATGGGTTATGTACACAATAAATCACCACACTACGGATCATCCTACAACAATCAGTTGAACAGAACTCGTAAATATACATCAACTTCATTGACTAAGAGAAGAAGCTTGACTGTGTGGACAGGAGAACATTATGGAAACTGCTTCGACACTAGAGTTCCTGAGGAGAATTTCAATATTATCCGGAACTCATATGACGAACTACACTGCAAAGTCGCGTGTGGAGGACAGCTGATAGATGCATTCCAAGTGAGGACCGGATTCAGACAAGGCTGCTTACTCTCCCCCTTCCTCCTTCTATTGGTCGACTGTATTATGTAAACCTCCACATCTGAGGGAAACCATGGAATACAATGAATGGCTCAGAATCAATTAGACGATTTGGACTTCACAGATCACCTGGCTCTCCTATTTCACACACACCGACAAATGCAGATGGAGACAATCAGTGTAACAGCAGTCGCTGTATCAGTAGGACTCAACATACACAAAGGAAAAAGCGACTTCCTCAAATACATCACAGAGAACACCAACTCAATCACACTCGATTGGGAAACTCTGGAAGAGGTGGAATTTCACGTGCCAGGACGGCATCATCGTCGATGAACAAGGAGGATCTGATGCAGACGCAAAGGTAAGGATTTTTAAAGAAAGGACAGCGTTCCCATATTTGACGAACATATGGGACTCAAAACAACTGCTATGCAGTATCAAAGTCAGAATTTTGAATGCCAACGTAAAGATTTATTTTTGGGAAGCTGAGACTTGGAGGACTTATCTACTTATTTGAACAAAAATATCGGCACAAAGAAGCACCAAATACATAAGCACCACATAATAACAAAGAGAACATGAAGAGAGAGAATACAAAGTAGAACAACGAACATAAATTAGAGTTTGAGAGTGAAATAGTAATAATGAGAGGGGCAGTTCAATTAGCAAAAGTACAGCAAGAGAGAATCCTTTCAGTTAAAGAAGTTACATTCATTTTTTGATTAAGAAAGTAAAACAAAGTTACAGTATGATCGCCACTGGCTTCTATTCTGAGCCATATCTGATAACGTCTCTAGTCATTGTGTTGCACCATCTTTAGAACCCCAGCCAGGGAGTCGTGAAGGACCAACAGAAGCCAGTCCTTTGCTGCTTTCTTTTATACCACGACACCATGCCACACACTGACCACCTCTTCGCTTTTTCCAACCAGTCACAGAGTCGGCAAATAATGCACGACGTGGAATTCTGTGAGACGATATTAATAGGATATTTACAAGTCACCGAAGTCGATGTTTCAAAATAGTGACATTAATTGAATTATCGTCACTGTGCCCGAACACACGATGCCGAACTTCTGCATTAATAACATGGTGTTGCCACTGGATGTCACCAATTCTTCGGAGACAACGATGATCAAACAAAAAGAGTCGTCTAAAATACTCAACCTGGAGAGACCAGGTCCCACAAGCACAGAGCAAGACTTCTCTCGATGACGCGTTGTAGATCCGACCTTTTACAGCCAAATTAACATCACGGTGCCGAAGATGGCCCAGATTAGCATAAACCGCTCTGGCTCTCACTTACATCCACCAGAGCTGTTTTTAGAATGCCACCGATAGCAAAGTTGGAGAGAAATGGTGAGATTGGGCAACCCTGTCTAACCCCACTTCTTAAACGAAACAATGGAAAGAGATGGTTGTATAAACTTCTCAGGCACACCCTTCTTCAATAGACAATCCCAGAGAACAATCCTGTCCAACGAATCAAAGGCAGCCCTGATGTCAAGAAACACTACGATTGTTGGCTTGTGATAAGTATGACGGTGTTCTAACATTTAACGGAGGATGAAGATGTAATCAATACATCCTCAACCAGAACGAAAACCAGTCTGCTCCTCGCGAGTCAATCTCTAGGGTTTGAACAACTTTAACCACTAACAATAATCTACCGCAGCAGAGAGCAAACTAGTCTTCGGATGAGAAAACTAAGGGGCGCTGAAGTTGAATAGTACACACTACGTAGACCATTAGACTGCATTACAAAGCAAGTACTGACTGAGTCTTCAAAGAAAAACGATATGATAGACAATAGGACACAAGGTTCTGGGGACCGGATATTGACGTCAAAATGATGAATGACAGTCAGCAACAACTGAAATAAAGAACCAAAGAGAGTTAATTAGAAATCACTGGTCGGTCAGTTGCAGCGTGGAATCTGGTACTTATGTACACCGTTTCGAGTTACCATACTCTATAAGCAGTGTAAGGGCGAATTCCAGAGTGACAGAGTCAGTAACAGTATGAATGCTGTGCAAGTAAATACAAAGTAGTGGGTTTAGATGCCTAAAATTTTGTGGAAAACAATGGATAGATTCACTTTTTCCGTTGAAAACGATCTAGAGAAATGTCATTCAAAGTTTTAAGTATTGGTTACGGAAATCACTTGAACTAGATGATCAAGGGAAATAGGTTTGAGTAAGTAGGTGGGTAGCACTTTATGGCAAAAGATCAGCACTTTCGGCCGCATATTATAATTATAACGTTCATAACACCACGCTACACTAACGTCAAACTCTGAGTCTTATACAATTACGAAAATTCAAGAAGTAATGTGGGAAAATTTTTATTTAGACTAGAATATAAGAGTAAGAGTGGTGAGCGTTTTCGTCCGTATAAAACGAAAGACGAGTTCGAAAATTCAGTATTTGCAGCTATAGCGTGGATGGAATGCGCGTAGCAGAGAAAAGAAACAATAAAAGTGTCTGAGCAACTCCGGACGCCACAGCATGTATCTCGTTGAATGTGATCCCCGTAGCCTTATACACACCCGCAACCACAATACCTATTGTGAAAGTCAGCATTTATGATATTTACTTGTAATCAACATGAATGATATCGTGTTTAAAACCCCCATGACAAGTATGAAGATAGGAGCACATATCCTAGAAGATTTATGTGCCCTCAAATTGTAAAATGCTACAAGAGAAGCAACTACGTGGATGAATATGTTGGAAGTTGCAGCCCATAAAAATATCCGGAATACGATATCTTGAGGCATTAAAATTAAGCTTAAACTTACAAGAGAAATCCACAGACTCAGCGGAAGGGAAATCTGCACCAACGTTCATCATAACATCCCAAAATCCCGCACTAGAAGGCCATTCACTGTTTCGAAATCCGCTGTCAATAAACAAATATGCTAATACTTTATTCAGAAAAATTCAAAGTTCAGTTCCTTCGTTTCTAGGTATTGGAATCAGGAATTGTACTGAATGTCTGTACCATAATGAATCCAGAGGAGTTAATTCAAATGGTTCGATGTAGTATAGGAGAAGCTCACTCATAACGGGCTTCCATAGCGGTGGATCAACGGCGCCACCAGGTGGAAACCTGGGTATATTGAGCCATAAAAGACAAAAGATTAGTAAATCAGAGTGAGATACTGTTCTTAGTCCTTAGGAAAACGTCAAGTTTTTTCCTAAATAGCCCCTGGGATGTTGTTTGAAGTAGCTCAGCCTGCAGCGAATTCCAACACTTGACTACCCTCAAGGAGTAGGGGGTGTGCCTGCAGTCCATTCCTCTATGTTGTGTTTACAGTTTCTTGATGTTACTTCTTATGTTTGTGTTGGGATTTTGATGATGCGCAGAAGTGTTTAGGATGCTTTAAATCATAAGGTCACCACTAAGACACTTGTACTCTAGTGGGCAAAGGTTCGGCGATTCAAGAAGCCCTTCGCAAGGCTTGAATTTGAGTTATCGAACTGATTTCATGATTCGCCGTTGAATACGTTTCAACGTATTCTTATCTTTTTGGAGTGATGGAGGAAACACTGTCGTTCCATACTCTAAATGGGGTCGAAGAAAACTGTTGAAGAATAAGTGGAAAGTTCTACTGTCAAACTAGCCCAAAATTCGCTACAACGCTCGCGGTGTGAATTTTATGGGAAAGCATTATATTTGCTATATTTGAAAAAGAGAATAATAATAATATCAGAATAATAATAATAAATCAAGTTATGTTCAGTTGAGAAGAATATTGAATTGAGTTTAAAGAAGGGAAGGGAGAAAATAAGGGAATAGAAATAAAGGAGACGTGAAATACACAAATAATTTTATAGGTGTGTTTATGAACACAGAACAAGAATCAACGACGATGTATGTATCGTCAAATTAGTAACAAAAATGAAATAGAATATAATCAAGAATAATAATTTCTTATTGCAGTAAGACATGACGCTAGAATAAGTGTTTGTGCAGTCATAGTTTGGAGTGATGCTATGAAAGTCACAACTAAGTAAAAAGGATAACCAAATATCAATATGTATGAGTCATATATATATAGTGAAGATAAAACGAGTTTGAGAAGTTAATTTAAGTGTGGCACAAGTTATTGTCTTAATTACAAACTTCGAAATCTTAAGAACAATATTTATTTAGAAGAACACTTAGTGAAAGGGTTAAATCATCATCATCATAATGATAATAATAATAATCGTGTAATGAATATCGACCTCTGAAGTAAACCAACAATTTAGAAAAATAAAATGAATAAAATTACTCCTTTAGTGCACTCGGATAAATACATATAGATTTATGTATTCAGATTTTCACACTATCAGCAAAACGTTATAAACCGGACGAGTCCTGCTGAGAGAGGTCGTTCATAGAAATTAAGGAAGGAAGAGGTCGTAGTAATGAACCCTGGAAGTCCACTTGTTTAGACAGTACAGTTTCTGATACACCAAGTCAGCTCTCAGTCTCACTGCTGAGAGTCCTGTTGGGTCGTGAGTGAAACTCCCGTTGACTTAGTAAGTATGGGATGGTTGAAATATCTGAAAATAAAGTACTGCTTGAAGGCTAGAGGCATCTCCGTACTTTTTTAGTCATAGTGTCGAAGAAGGTTCTACTAGTTTCTCCCAAACACACTGTCAAATGCCTTCTCATAATCAATGAAGTTGATGTATAGTGACGACTTCCATTCAATTGTTTGTTGAACGATGATCCATAATGTGGTGATTTGGTCTGTGCACGACCGATCCTTACGAAATCCAGCCTGTTGATATCGAAGTTGGGTGTCTACTGAATCTTTCATCCGGTTTAGAAATACCTTGTTCAAAACGTTTCCTGGTACTGATAGTAGTGTGATGCCTCTATGGTTCTCACATTTACTCAGATCTCCATTCTTCGACATCTTGATGAGTCATCCTTTTTTCCAGTCTCCTGGCACTTGTTCCTCCTTTCAAATATCTCTGAATTGAACGTAAATTATGTTTGCAGTTACTCCAATGTCCGGCTTCAGTGCTTCAGCTGGTATCTTATCAGGTCTTTCTGCTTTCCCGCTCTTGATTTGTCTGAAGGCCATCCTGATTTTTTCGACCGTTGGTGGGTGACATCTATAGAAAAGGCTGTGTGCTTCTTTGATGCGCGGTGGATTCGATGGAGCTGGTCTGTTTAAGAGTTCCTTGAGTCATTTCATCCATTTGTTCCTCCATTATGAATTTCAGTGATTGTCATCCCTTCTTTGTCCTTGACCGTTCTTTCTGGTTTACTGTATCTCCTTGTCACTTTCTTCGTTGTATTATATAGCTGTTTCATATTTCCTTCACTTACAGCTCTTTTTACGAGGTTGCTAGTTCTTCCACGTATTTCTGCTTGTTGGCTTTAGTTCTATTCCTCACTTGCCTCTTTTTTCTGTGTTTTCAACTTGTGCATTGATTTTCTTGCTCTTGTTTGGCTGTCCTCTTGTTCTTCCTTTCTTGAATCCCGTCCAGTGTCTTACTAAAGATTCATCATGACGATCGAAACTCCAATATTCAATTTGGATGCAGAACTAACAAATCAATACGTATTCGATTAGACCAAACTGCAACCTTTTCAACAGAGCGGAAACATTTTTGAGATACTCGCAATAAATTACATCAAAACACAAATAATATGTTGAGTTTAAACCGTTCCAACTTAAAAAAAGAAAAAATTCTATCAGAAACACAAAGTACCTGCAACGCTACAGCCTATACTATATATTCGAGTGTTTTTCTAACACAAACTGGCGTGCTAAATAACAAAAGGAATAGTTAGTATGCGAAGGCTCGATACCTGACAATTAATAACAATATATGTTACGGGGTAACTGAAGACATTTGGCTGATTAAAACCTTTGTATTAAATATCATTATTTTCACTGTGTTTTTTGGATGTATTTGTGTTACTTAACTTCTGAACTTTTTTGTTTATATCATTGTTTTCGGACATTTTGGTTTCTGTTTGTCTTTGACTTGGTACTTGGGAGTTTTTGCTCCGGGAACCTATAAAATTGAAGTTTTGTTTTGTAATTGCTATAATTATTGCTGTTAGAACGACATTTGGTCGACTATTTGTGAATTGCGAATAAACTTTGGTACCTAATTTGGAGTTTGGTTCTGTTGTTAATTTGGGTTCGTAAATTGCAAATAGATCGACATATTGTACTTCACTAACGGGAAGGAGCGAAAACTTGGACGTAACAATTTCCCCAACAAGTTGGAATCAGATATCTTCTTCGAAAGTTTCTAGCAATCTTTACAAACAAACAGTCAAAAGTTACCAGTCACACACTGAACCACTCTGTGACCTTGAGGTTGGTCAAACACGACTTTGTTGTCGACGGTCCGGCAACATGCAACAGTAAATTAAGTAACGAAAGATACATTTTTGACCGTAATCACACATTAAAATCCTCGAAAAGGAAGGCTGAAGAACATAACGTGTGGTGAACAAGAGACTTGTATAAAGGGTAAAATACAATACAATAATAAGAAACAAACAAATGGCAATACTGTCCAAGATACATCTAGCTACTCAAAGACAACTATGAATACACGTATTCATGGCTTTCTTAGCTAACTAATCTATTTTAGTAGGTGGTACAGGACTTACAACAGTACTCCAGGACTCCCATAAACCTAACATACATTCCACAGATATTCGTCTTCCTCTGAAAGTCGAAGCCTTCTCACATTTCCTTCCACCAACGCTTCCTTCATGCGTACCATCACTGTCCATCTATCTCACACTTATCAGTCCGTCCTATTGGCTATGAGCCACAAATCGTTGTGTTGTTAGCCACAAACTCCACATCACCTTCCTTTAAGTTTCTGTGTTTGCAAAACCATTTTTGCCTCACTTGCAGTAACGGAACATACTCCTTCATACACTGACACCAGAAAGTATTGACTTTGCCTTGAATACCCATCCGCAAAACTTCACTCCATCTCTAAACTATCACAGTCTCTTAGTAGTAGCAGTGTGTTTGGTGTGAGCGCCAAGTCATCCTTTTCATTTGATGCCACAGGAATCATGAGACGTTATTTAAGGTTTTCTCTATCTTCGCGAATTAGGTTGCTAAACTGTCATCGTGTAAGATCTGTTTATTAGAAATGGATAGCAAAATACTACTAACAGTTCGATTAATCTCTTTAAAACTCCGCATTGATGTATAGCTGGTTAAGGGTTGAAATGTCCATGTATCCCCTTTGATGTTTTGAAGTCATTTATCTTATGCTTGTCCTATACATTCATATTACTTCGTGATTCAGAAATTAAATTTGTTGTCACTGTAGATTTCCGTTAAAGTCCCTTACTTTCTTATGGAGCGTATTAAAGCCATCACGAAAACATCAGTACTCAAATTGAAAGCTTGTTTATGGATATTTTGAAATAAAATATTCCTAGTTTGTAATTGGTTAGACATAAGTGTTCAGTAACATCCATTTCGGCTATTTTCAGCCTGCATCGCAGCCATATCTATATCAATGGAATTATAAAAATACACTTCTTACCATTTCGATGCATTCCCACAAAACATTATTCGGACAACTGAACTGACCTCTTTGGTTTCCCTGAGTTTATTTGTAAAGAGTTCATATTTTTATTTGATCCTCGCCTTAAGTTTCTTGTGACTGTCACTAAGCACATGTGAACACTTCCGTGAAACAAATAAAAAAGTTTTGACACGTAAATTTCGGAGAACTTCCAATGTCTATATATCAAGGTTTCACAACAGATATAAAATAAAACGTTAGTGTGGTCTCTGTTAGTCCCGGCAATAGCGGTCTCTCTTTCGATTAAATCTTTTATTGAAAAAGTCAACAGATGGAGCTTCAATCACGTGTTGAATAAACAATTCCGTTCGTTAGCGATTCAATATG